ATAACAATGTTTACACTTGAATGGCACCAACGAACTTTCTTGAATCATTTAAGCCTTTGTTGGATTCACAAGCCTGACCATTCGTAATCAGTAAAACTTTGTTACATCTCAGAATTCCGAGTATCACCCTAAGATGTGAGAAGTAACAGAATGTTCCAGAACATGTTCGGAAGATGTTGGGATATATACGATCACCTATGAATTGATCTAGTTCTTAGGAATAATGGTTTTCGTTTTAACTTGTTTCACATGTGAGGATGGTAATTAGCTTTTGTTATTATTTGCATTTTGCATTATTTCTCATAGTTTGTACAGTTACAGTGTCAAGCTCACATAGACCATTCTAGCTTCATTCTTCTTGAGTGACATTTTGATCTTGTTGGTTATTCATTTATTAACCTTGACTGTTTCTATATGGGCGTGTGTGTTAATCCCATATCCCACTCACTACATGTCTGTAACCTGTTTTTGTCAGGCCATAAATATCAAGTCACACCTTGTCAAATGGAGTTGGCTCACTCGTATTTTCCAATCCGCTACACTCTCTTCTCTTTGAATTAGCGTTTTTTATCCTGGATCTCCGTCTGAATAAACGAATGCTTAAAATAAATTCACCCAATGCCACCCGGATTTGGATTTTTATTAACGCCGTCATACAAACGGGGTTAGCCTAGGTAATATACTGATTTAAATGATAGATTTACATCCATAACATATTTATATGTTTATACAAATCGGAGTCCGGTCAGATCATAAACCATATATCATTCGGACTTGAAAGCACAAACTGGCTTAACTGTTAGCAGTTTTGTCCTCTTGGAGGAGGAAACACTATGTTTTTTATTCTGATCGAAGTTAAGTAGAACCTAAAATCTACTACTAAACTGGCGAAAATATGTCTGTGTTATTTGTGCAAGGTCACCTCTGAAGATATTTTTACGTTAGTCATATATGATTTTATGTTTTTTGTGGTTTTTAAATTGACGACTGAAGACGGATGGATTAAGTAAGAACCTGAATGGTGGTGTTCCTGGATTTTTATTTAGACAGTTGAATTGCCTGACATGTACGGTAGCAACAAACAGAATCAAATCACATTGGGCACTATTGGACTGAAGTAGCAGTAGGATTTGATTTGGACTAGAATTGGAACTTATGGTAATTACACAACACTTTTGCTGTTACCAGCAGTAGAAAGACTGCCGGAGTGCACAGAAGTTTATAGACAAGAGAAAACTACACAACACACTAGTGACTCCATAACCTTAGAGGGCATTCAAAGTAGAGCTACAAACCGATGGTTTGAAGGGCAGTCAGGTCTGTAACTTTAAATGACTGAAATGATATATGTCAACTCTTACGTCTTGATGTAAAGAATGTGGGAGCGGCAAACCAAAAAATATCCACTGGGTCGAAGCTGCTTCTTTCACAACATTAGGGTGAATCACATCGAGGTTAGATGTTTTTCTCCTCAGGATACTGAGACAAATGGTGCATCACTTCCTTCAGACATTTCCACTACGCTTGAGATGAGGCCCTCACTTATTGTAGTTGAAGATGGTGGCTTAGGCGCTTAGAAATACTGACTAACCACGAGTTCTACAGAACCTCATCCATTACTGCTCTCGCCATTAAGACCTAACGGCTAGAAGATGTGAAGATTGGTTTTTTGGAAGTGACTGAATTGTGAAATGTGTTTTTTAGGTTGAATATGATCCTTATAATCATCCTAGTCTGCTTCTCATGTCCATTATATTGTTTGGGACTTTGAGTGAATATTGTTGGCGTGCTTGAAATTCCCATATTTCTAATTGCTACCAATTCATTTAAATTCATCCTAGAAGCGTTTGTCCAGTTTTAGCAATCTGATGGCGTAAATTAGTAAGAAAATAGGTTGACCGAAACGTTAACGGATCAAACTGAATAGCGGAAGATACTACAACGTTCGGTGAGAATTTATAGTGAGCAGTCTTATCAAGCTGAGTATAGCATTTTTACTTCATCCCTTGATATTGCCCCGAGATTGTTCTGCTACGCTATTTCATCTAGCTTCCGTGTAACATTTATAACAACTTATTTTCTTTTACATATCCTTATAGTTACCACGTTGGACAATACCATATGGGAATACTGAATACAAAATGGTTTGGAAAGATTATATTTCATGGAAACGTACTTAGCAACCAAACAATATGAGTGAACCAAATAGTAGACGTTTTGATGGATCAAGTAGATCGATTATAATGTTGGTTGTTGAACCTGTTTATTTATTGTTCAAACAGACAAAGGAGCAACACAGACAAACAGACTGTAATTCTACAAACATACATATAAGATATGCTTATGCATAAAATATTACAACTAACATCTGTTTGTATCAGTTTTCACAAGGGCTCGTATCAGTCTGCTAGTTAATTTGTTAAGTGAATAAGCGTATAATATGTTCTCAGAGTATATGTAGTTGTCTACATTCGTAACCAGTTGCCTTAATTCCAAGCACCTTTAGTCTACAGGACGATTCAGTTTATTTTTAAAGGTGGACTTGAAGGATATGACGATGTAGTCAGCACTAAGAAGTTATGAACCACTAGTCCTTTGTCCGTGTGGAAGGAGCCTAAAAGTATCAATGTTTAACTGTTTCTTCGCCGAGTCGCAGGCTTAATACCTTAAAATAGCCCTAGTTTTCTATATGATTTCAATAGGATTGTGATTCTACCGTAAGCATATTTAATAAAGTTGGTCTGTGGAAATTCAAAATCGGTAGGGATTTGAATGGCTATATGTCCTTGACCCATGATAGTAGCTCAACTCTCAGCATCTGGCTGACATACAGGATGTAGTGTCTGTTATTATGTTAAGCCCGAATACCTTATTCCAGCTTTCGGACAGCTCAATCTATTCATTCTACTTGAGTCACATTCTGACCTTGTTAATTATTCGCTTATCAGTCTCGACTGTTTTTATATGAGCGCGTAGGTGTATGTACACTTCTTATCCTATTCATCACATGTCTGTAACTTATTTTTTGTGTAACTATAAATATTGATTAATGCTTGATTCATGGGGAGTTGGCTTACCCGCCATCTCCACTGCTCATCGTTTCTCTTCTCTATATTCCATTCGCTTCATATACAGAATATATGTATCCAAAATTCCATTCTCGTTATTTAACTTAACTAATTCGGTTATTGACTAACGCGATTTAAGTCAATGATTATATACGAGGATAGGCAACATATATATTTCAACAACGATCATTTATACGATCAAGGTGGAGTCAGAAGTCGAGCCACTAAAGCGGAGAGCCCTTCGACAACATAGTCCGATCCAATTGACATCAAGACAAAGGGCCACACAGGAATATCATCAGTAGGTTTTCTGTAAAGAAATTCAACGAAAAATCTTACAGAGCATCTTGCTGATTTTCCGAACTTGTTAAGCTCTTGAATGTAAATTTGACGTGTTACAAAGCGAGAAAAAATCACGTACAAAGCAGCATAACATCGTGATCCGGTTTTCTTATCACTTCTGAAACTGGGATATGCAAGGTATCTCCAATTTCTGAATAGCAATCTAGGATATCTTTGTATCTTTTACGTCTGTCAGGTAAGAGTTACTTGCACGGCTTGATTACTTAAATGTTGGATAAACTTTCGTATATAAGTTGCTGATATCCTCCAGAAAATAAGCTATTCAGAACAAGAGATGACAAACTTATTCTTTTTGTGATTTAGCTGTGGAAATCTGAATTGCCAATTTTCTCGCCGAAGTTCCATTGCTTACCTTTAGTTCGTGCTTTCCATTTGGAAGTGTATTAAACGTCAGTGGTTAGTTTTTACTTTCAGGGCGTTAACTTGTGACATTCTTTTAGGGATGTCTTGTTGTTGCATATAAATACATGAGTTATGTACTTGTCGTTCAGTCTTCCAGGATGCTTATGGAATTATATGTTTTTCTATCTGTATCTGGTCTTCATCCTCTAGTTAACAGAGCCAAGTCGGAAAGGAATAGCTTAGCTTGTCCTGTCGTGTTGCTGACTTTCGTGCTGATCTCTTGTCCTAAGTGATATCCTTATCTCTCGAACATAGCAATAGAGCCTTTCATAAGCTTTTTTATTCTTTCTCCTGAGTCTTTCCAGGGTAAAGGGGCAAAAAGTGTGATTTAATGCTATAGAGGCCGACTTTGTTAGTTCCTAGTGGCCCAATGTCTTCTAACAGTGCTTTGTTTGGAAGAGAAGAGTGTGAAGATGCCACAGGTATTCAGAGTTTGAGAACGCTTTAACCAGTAACACATTTTAATATGAAGCGTACCCACCAATTGAAATCAAAAGACAGAAGCGAGGAGATCGAAGATATATTTGATAAGCTATCAATATATCGAGGATCGTTTGACCTAATCTGGCTAGCGATTGCGGCAGATGTTGAGCACGGCGTTCCCACACGTGATCTGGTGCGGATGCTTGACCGAGCACCTTCAGCTAGATGAGTCTATTAAAACTAATGTGGTCAGCATCCGATGTCGAAAACTTGCAGAGCTATTTATTTTGGGGATTTATTTACCGCTACAAGCGCTTGAGTTTTAGTCCAACGGAAGTTGTATATTTTCGAATTTGGGAGGTCCTCTCTATAGTACGCTAAATTGGCAACTTCTTTGGATAAATCTCTTAAGAACATTCAGCCGATTCTCACATAGACTTCAATTCCGATCGTCCATAACCCTGTGTGCATGACTACTTGGACATTTGCCTCTTACGCTTTTACACAAGTTGCGACTGACTCGCCATTATTGGCTGAGGTAGAAGCGTTAAAACTTTACAAAGTGGTAACACATGATATAAGTTTGTGAAGTGAAACAAACTGCACGGATTAATATAGGTTGATAGACCTCATATCCTCACCACTGAAGTATTGGACAAAGAAATGAAGGTCATCCACTCGTTTTCAGTACTTGCGTTATCTATCACTTTGTGATCTAATTACGTAACTCGAGAGGAGTGTGTTATGTCTTCTGATGTTATTCTAAATTATTACGAGTCCCTTCTGCACAGAGATGATCTAGAAACTTTGAAGGAGGGTTGTTTCGTCAATGATAACATAATAACATTCCATCTGGAGTATCTGCGCCATACAAAATTATGCCACTCGTCAAATATTCTTCTTATGGATCCAGCAGCATCTCAGATTTTAAAATTGATGGATGAGGAGTCAATTAGACTGGTGCTGGATCCTTTAGAATTCAAGTCAAAGGATTGGGTATTTTTAGTGATCAATGATTCTGCTTCACGAGTTTCATCTGGTGGATGTCATTGGTCACTGTTGGTTTATTCACCACTTCTTGTACACGGTTTTTACCTGGACTCCTTGAACTCTAGCCCTAATTTTTCAGAGGCGATCACTTTGTGTAACAAGTTATGCACCTATTTAGGTGTTTCTTTTGTAGATATAAAGCTACCTAATGTCATGAAGCAGAATAATGGATATGATTGTGGAATATTTTGCATGGTATTCATAGAAATAATATGTGATATGATATTGAAAGGTGATATGTCCTGGCAGATGAGTCTGCCCACTGACATGGTTTCCCATCAAGTAATACACAAAAGGAAATCGTTACTACAGTGTATCTATGGCTTATCCACAGCAAATGCTTAGGTTTGTCGCCGAAATTTCTAGAAGGGTCGTGACCTGGCAAACATAAGCAGACCTGGTGTCTGTTTGGCGATTTTTCATCTACAGACTGTTCATGTGTTAAATTTTATCCTAATACACACTGTAAAAAATATTTCTTTTGTTCACAAGTTATAGTCAATAATGCATTTTCCTGTTTGGGATCATTACGCAGACAGAGGTTAGGGTCTATTTAGACTTGCTTTTTGTATCAGTTGTCTTTATTCTACATCTGATGGGTCAATTAGTCCCTTTAGGGTTTGCAGATGCTTTCAGGGCGAAATTATAAGCTGATTTTTCCCTAAGATCCCCACATGTCCACACTTGTATAATAAAATGTCTTGATAATCTAGTATTTATCACTTGCGTCATCCATGGTCTTGACCTATATTTACCTAGATAGGTAAGCTTTATAACCCCTTTCTTTGGTGATGTTTTTTGTTATCCATGAAAATCAATTTGGCACAGTCAGCCCCACACAGTATCAGAGGAACAAATAAGTAACTTCCTGTTCTAGTCACTGAATCTCAAAAGCATATAAACCTAGGTCTATGAGAACTATATAATGCTTTCATAAATCCGAGGCACCTCAAATTGAATACACCAGACTTCAAAATAATTTTATGTTGCAGTGATTTTCAGCAAATAACAAATCGAGAAAACCAACATTTTTTTATGTCAGTTATGGGTTTTGTGGCTAGTGAAAAGATAACTCATTGATTTCGAAGCTAGAAAACTTAGACTATATATGACTTTCGGTCAAACGTTTTAGGTATTTAATATTAACTCTCTTACGGTGACGATCATTTTGGAATTAGATGGGATGTGCTAAGCACTCAAATCACAGGCTTGTCGGAAACTCCGTTTTTAAGTTGATATTTTTGTTGTTTGCCGGAAACTTTGGAATGGGGTTGGTCTTTCACTACAAGTTAACATGGACTGGATGGTGTGCTTAAGGGAATTACCAATATTTAATGATTGATTTGTTTGGTAGTTGCAAAAAAAGCTGCGTGTAACGTAGTCGCGTGGCAGTCCAACTCACCACACCTGATACGAGAATGGTAGGTAAAGATTTGAGGTAAAAAGAAAAAAATGGATTTATGAATGATAATATCTTGCTTATGTTAGTGATTATTATATTTAGTTCTGGCTAGTGAAAAGTTCGCGTGTTAATAAGTCCCAGGTGTACATGGTGCTGTTTTTAGCCAATAATGCAGTTGCGAATGCAGTTATTTAGGAAATCTAACCTACACTGGCTATTTCTTCTCGATAATAACCTTTTTTATTGCTGAAATAAAAATTTATCATTTCACTATTAAGTTTAATGCCATGTATTCTTTTTTGTCTTTAAACCATTAAAGTGCGAAGTCCAAGGAAATGGTATTGAAGTTACTATTGATATTCACTTAGTAATCAATCATCATGACTTTTAAGGTAAACTTGCTTATGGATCTTATTGTGTTGTTAGCCAAGGGTAATCTACGTCCAGCTTAATTCTACTTCAGCATGTATGTTTTTATGGACTAGTTTTTGTCACAAACATAAATATTAATCACTTGCTTGGAGATTATCTTATCTTTAACGTATTCAGATATCTATTTACATGTTTAACTAGCAAATATGATAAGTTTCATTCTTTCCGCACATATCAAGTATGGTGTTAGTCTCTTTTGGTTAATCTCTTTTTCCGTTCTGCTTATACAGGTGTTAACGCTGATTCTCATCGAAAAAACATAGAGCTACACAAATAAACCACTTCGCCCGTTGGGCAAAATTTTTGAAGTGTGCTCTTAAATGGTTCTCATCTAGAATTGCTTTGAAATACTGTTAGGAGGTATTACAGCTAAAACTGATTATTATTCTGTAATGTTCTACAATATTATTATTTGTGTTTGTCGGTCACAAGAGCTTGTGTATTCAATCAATACTTTGTTTAGTGCTAAGATTATTCTTTTTTATGAATTTTTTCATCGTAGCAATTTCGTTACTTGTAGATGATTAATTCCACTAAATGTATTCATCCAATTGTTTATTGGGGTCAGTCGGAAGAATATGTATTTCTTTCTATTAAAGTGGCCAATGCAAATGTATGTTCATCTTGATCTTCAATCAGTAGATGCTTAGATTGATTCTATTGTTATCAACCAAGAAGAGTTTATGTTTTCTGCTATGGGTACTGGAGCTGATGGTGTTAATAAATATGAATTTTCTATTTTATATTATCTCCCTATAATCCCTCAAGTAAGTTCTTATGTTTAAGATATGTTCTACTTAATTTCATTCTCTTATTTATCACCGCTAAATTTCTATCAAACTATCTCATCGTTACAATAATTAAACCTGTTTATTTCATTTCAGCCTGATTATCCTGAAAGAAACGCTTGCTTCTGTGGTTAGACCGTTCCTTTTTGTATGATGATAAAATGATTTGCAACTTGATCACCTACATCATAGGAAGAAAATTCAGAGGTCATTATGGGTTAAAAGCCTTCGACAAATAAATATCTTAACGAAATGAAAAGGAAAAGTTGTCAGTAATGATAAAAATGAAGAAGAACCGAAGCAAATGAAAAGAATTGAATTGTGTTTTTGCCATATGTAATAGGCTGTTCGGTTTTACGCTAATCTGTTAGGTGATATAATTACTACAGAATCCATTTTGAGCCATTTCTAAGTGATCTTAATCAACATGTATCATTTTATAATTCGTCAATAAATCTCAGACTTTATCATATGGCTTAAATCAATGACCGATATCTTGCTTGTCTAACAAGCTTAATTCGATATTTCAAGTCGAAAATGATAATGGATGTGTATGAATATCATGCATCTTAAACACCATTCGAATTCTATCCCGTAACTCACCAACTCACAAGTTTGAAATAAGTAAAACTAATTTACATCAATTTTTCATAGACTATTTAAGTATAGTTGGTGGCTGTAGTGTTAGACATGAATTATTAAATTGTAATCTCTAAGATTTAAATATGATAATTCACTAACAGCTTTACTACGGCTCATTAATGCTTTACCAATTATATACCTCGTTCCCTTTTTTATACCTTTAATATATTACAAACGAGTATCATATTTTTAAGTGAATATAAGCTCTATGTAACATGAGTATTCTTATCACTGGAATATCACATTACGTTTGATTAACATAATTTACTTATTTAAAAACGTTTATCTCACTAATATTATAACCCGTGTATTAACTTTTTAGGAAAGTCGATATGTCGTTACAAGTTTATCTGTTAATGTGAAATTACGAAAAGAACTTAAAGATTCATGGTCAAGGTTAACATTAGGAAATCAGCGTCTACCTTGGGTTCGTCCTGATTTCGATCGTTATCAGTTTAATGACTCTGATTTGGAAAATAATGAAGAAGAATGTCTCAATGTTAACGTTGTACATCCATCAAAAGAGGAGAGAGTAAGTTTATAATAAAAACATTTTATAAAGACATGTGTTTTGAATTCTTTATCCATTGTTTATATTCCTAATTGTATTGATTTAATTATATTGTTCTTGGCTATGACTTCTCAGGGTATACAAAATCGGAAGATAGTTCACTGTACCAAAATAATATTTGAACTATTACACAATGATGTTTTTTAATGAATATGTCTGTTTACTTATTTATTTATTTACAAAAAATCACTTAACAAAATAGATGAATAGAAATAATCTTTATCAAGGATTGTTTTGGTTGGTACATTTCTTTTGCTTAGTGGTTTTCTCATCATAATAGATTACTCTGATTCATGAAATTTCGATCAGGAAAATTATGACAACTTGAATCAATGTAGAGCACTATACCAGGACTTATTGATTTAACTAATCCATTAGGCTTTAAAGTTGATGAAATACACATTAATTTAAATATCCTAATCGGAATACTCAGACATTTTAACAAAATTTCTGTGTGTTGATACAAAACAGTGTTTTCGTTGATATTGTCCAGAACGGCAACAAAAATTTCAAAGTTAAATCATAACCTATTCACCTAATGGGGAAATTTTCTTTGTTATTACAAAACAATCTGTTACAATTAGTTTTGATCTATATCTAGTTTGACCTAGTAATTAAAACGGTTTGACAAATCAGTTGCTACACATGTAAATTATGTTTTGTGGTGAAATAAAACACCGTCTATTTTGCGACCATCAAAATCAAGTAGCATGCAAAGGTTTCTTGTATGTTTGATCATAAGTTTGTTTCCAATAGAACAGACAAATTGCACGTTTTATTCAACCGAATGGGTTCACTGTTATCGAGTTTTATCACTATTTCTCTAATGTAGCAGTTAATCTCCCTTTTTTATGATGTGTTTGGGTTTTAGGATAAGCATAATGCAGAACAAATGATGCTTATTGATGCAGAAGAATGGGAAGCATTTTTGAATCGTAAGTTGTATTTGATATTTTGGGCTGGGCTACTGAAACTAGTCATAACCTCTTTTCATAAAGCTAGCAATAGAAAATAATGATATATTTATGATGGACCAATGGATATAAATTTTAATTCCTGACGTTTTGTGACGTAGTGTAGGCCAGTTCTTCATAGTAAATAAATGGATCATATTAACATATTTAAACTGTATGAATGAAAAAAAGCTGAATACTTAATTCGGTTGTTTATTTATTCTAAAGAAGTGACTTACACTAAGTCACTCAAGATCTAACGCAATGAAACAATTAAATACATCTAGGCCATTTAAGCCAATGCTAATTCATGTCGCCGGATGTTTTCAGTTATCGGTTACAACATTTTATTTATTTATTTAAAACACATAAACATTTGTACAAGGAAGCACCAAATATATATTCACCACATAATAACAATGAGACCAGTAACAGTCATTATTGATATGTGTGAGGGCTGTAATACTTCTCGGGTACGAAAACCGAAGCAGGGGTTTTCTTAAGGTGCCACACCCCGAGCCTTCAACCTAAAGATCTGATTCACAAGTCAGTGGAGCAACTTCAGGAGATGCATTCCCGTGGTAGCCGGTGACCAACGATTGGTTCATACGCCATTTGTTCCTTCAGGATACTGGAGCCCATGTGCACCCCAAGTGGACTCTCCATGTCCACCAACCCGGTTAAGGCGCCGGATATTCGCTTTTCGTCCTCTCAATTTCGTAAACTACACCGCCGCTATGAGAAGGCAGTGAGCTGAACTTCCCTGTCAGAGGCTGTATACGCGTGGCTATGTGAGAGCATTTGGAGAGGGGGAGCTTACTTTCCCCACCCTCGGCTATACCAGGAAATTTGGGGGCATCCGTCACAATAATCACACAGGCTTCAACCAAGTCTGCATCTCCTAATACGGCTCAGTTGAATAATCAAAAGATTAATAATCTGATGCCGCGTTTTGACTTGGTCGCCCTTAGCTTTCTTCCAATTTACTCATACACCAATATCAGCGAAGTGAACTATTAATGATTAAACCAAAATAGGTGGGCCGGGGTTCGAATCTGGAATTGATCGGTCTATAGTCTGATGTTTTGGTCACTAAACCTCTGTTCCATGGATGTTATCGGGATTCTTACCTACCCCATATTTCCCTATCTTGTTCAAGTCGCTGTTTTGGTTATGTACTAAAAGTTAAAAACACTTTACTGTCATAATAGATAGAATTTACTACGATGTTTAGTGATAAAGCATTCAATTGATTTTAAACTGTAACTTGATTATTCAAAAGCGTAAAGATATGTTGTGTTGGGCGGTCATCTGATACTGATACTGACGAACACACTATATGAGCACAACCTTGAGTGAGAAAACCAGGGTTAAATAGGAAACTTTATTGAACAACTGAATCAAATATGTTCTCAAACTCATTCACAGATATTGATGTCTCTCGGATAATCCAGCTAAACTTCGATCAACAGCATGCACCCATCGGCATCTATCTTTTGACCTTAAACTAATATCTGATTTCCAGAGCCTACCAATTAGTTTTACTTATTTGAGTTCTTTAAACTCCATATATTATTCTTACTAGTTTCATGACATGCTATTTTTCATCTTTTTTTCAGTGATTAAAAATCCTCTAACAATTTATTTATTCCTCTTTAATGTCGTTCAATTCGCCGGTTATCTTTATGTTTGTGGAGCTCTGGTCTATGGATTAATGCAATATAAAGAAGTGGATAAGATACCATTTTATGAATGGATTATCGATAGATTAATTTTTGTGCAAATTTTATCAATTTTGGAACCATTGCATGCTTTATTAGGTTGGATTCGTGGTGGAAGTGTCTTACCTTCAGTTTTTCAGGTAGGTGTGACTATTTGAAGTGGGGATAGGTTTTTTCTTCTGCCGTTGTGTGGTTTCTCTCATGCAAACTGTAGCTTTAACAGGTAAAGTGATCGAATTCTTACTATATTTCAACTTGACGAGGAGCAGTTCAAAATAACTATTAATGTAAGGGGTTTGTGGTCATTTTTGTGTTTTACGGTTTATATCACGAATTAGCCTTATTTAGACGACGAGAAGAAACCCGGGAAGGACTGGACAACTATTTCATACTGTCATAGGACTCCTCAGCAGTGTTCATCCACGGTCCTCTATCATGTGCTGAGTAGTAATCAAGTTCAAGGCATAATTCCATCGATTCTGGTGACCAGCGGAGTTCTCAGTCATGTTGAGTGTAAAGGGGTGACCCACCAGCTGGATCGGTTGATGACTACATAATAATGTGACTTAATTAAAGTTCAAAGTGTAAACTGTTAAATACCGACTCAATAGTTTAAGGGATTCGGGGTTACTCTGAGTCCTAATCTCTAGTGTGATTGTGCATACTTAATCCTGAGTCCCATACTGGGACGGAAAACTTGTCCAGTCCTTCCTGGTTCTCAGTGAGTGTTCAGCTCAGGCTAATTCATAATAAAGATTATAAAATTTTCAAAAATCTATCGCTTGGTTACGTATAGCTTGTGGTTAACATTTCTTAAAATTTTAGCGCTAATTTTATAAGACGGTGATAAATTCATACTACTATTGTTCAACTTTTGATTTCTTCAGTAGATAAATGAGAATTTGCTCCAAAGTCTAAGCATATAACAAAATTTGTCTGTAAATATAGTAAGAAAATTTCTTCTAAATACTTGTTATGCCAGTTTGATTATGTTTGAATACTGTAAAGCAAGTCAATTTCATTATTCATATGCTTGTAAGGCGTGATTGCGCAATGTACATATTGAAAACGTCTATTTACTTTTATTTCAGTGATATACGACTATAATTACGGTTTTATAGAACTTTCAGACTACAACAGTACATAATTAATATATTTTGGTTTTTATTCGTTGTAGGTGATTTTAAGTTTATACCTAATGAATTGTTTGTTACACACTGTTATGTCGTTTGGGGAGTAATGATCTGTCTTTGTATAGCGTTTTGTTGGAAGAGCAGGATTTTAATAGTACTGTAGTGAACGAGATCACAAGTGAGAACAACTGAATGTATTTCGATACAATATTACCGAATCTCTTAGTAAAATCTGAGACCCATACAGTAAATACTTCATTTGCAAAATGTCAATTAATTATCTCAGACTTTAATGTTCTTTCGTCTCCACATCAATCATTCTCTGTTCTCGTTCTCTTTCCTTCGATCTTCTTAACCTTCTGCCTCCAGACATTTCTTTTACTATTGATGGCCCCTAAATGCCCTGGTACGGCCGAGGGTGGGGAGAGTCCACTTTCCCTCTCGAAATGCTCTCACATGGCCACGTGTTTGTAGCCTCTGCCAGGGAAGTCCTACTCACTGCCTTCACGTGGCGGAGGTGTTTACGAAAATGAGAGCACGAAAAGCGAATATCCGGCGCTTTAACCGGATTCCAAACCAATGGTGCACTTGAGCTCCAGTTCTTGAGGGAACAAATGGCGTATGAACCAATTTCTTGAACACCGGTTACCACGGGACTGCATCTCCTTACGATGCTCCACTGCCTTGTGGATCAGACCTTCAGGTCGAAGGCTCGGGGTGTGGCCCCCTAAGAAAACCACCTGCTTCGGTTCGGGCACCCGGGCAGTATCACAGCCCTCACACAAATCAATTAAGATTCGTGTGGCGCCTATGTATTTGTTGCCTCCTTGTACGAATATCTATGTGTTAAAGTAAATAAATAAATAATGATAATTCCAATGATTAAGATCATGAGTCAGTTGAAGCTAGACCGCCATGGAAAACCTGGAAGCACTGGATGGCCGTTTCTTATTATGGGGACTCCTCAGCAGTGCGCATCCACGACCTCGCCCCCTGCGAGATTCGAACCCAGGACCGACTAGTTTCGCGCGCGAGCACTTAACCACTAGACCACCGACTTCAACTAGTCCACGATTTTGAGCGACACATCCACCATTATCTTCAGTGAGTTACTATCTCACAACAGACCTGGTTGAACTCCACTGGTCACTACTTCTCACTAGAACTCCAGGATATACCTCTTGAAGCCGGTCACTAGTGAGCATATGTTGATTATTGTCAGAAGGGGTTTTGTGGAGATTGTAGTAATTTTAATGATTAAGATCATGAGTCAGTTGACTCTGATTCTGAAAATAATAATAACTTTCTATTGATGATACATACTACTTATATCTGTCGACATCAGCAGCACACACCACAGTACTAACAAAGAAATAGTTTATTTCACGTGATAATACTTATTGTTTCTAGTTTTAATATAAGTATACCAATTGCTGTTCTTACGCCCTAATTTTGTTCTTTGTGTGGTTTGAAACGAGTGACATGACTTGAAATCAATCACAATAGAAGTAGATCTATTTACCTATCAGTGAACAAGAACACCAGTGGGGACAATCGAATGTATTTAGGCACATAATCACAGAGCATCTCAATAAAATCTGAGAACCATATATTAAATCGTTAATTTGCAAAATATCAATCCATCACTTCAAAGTTGGCTGTTCCTGTTGCAAACATCAATCCATTGTCTCAGATTTCATTGTTCATGTGTTTTCATACCAATTGCGTTTCGTTCCCGTTCTTTCTTCATCGACCTTCTACTGAAATACATTCTATGCCTGACCACCGTCATATACTACTTGTGTGTAACCCACAACACACTATTACTACTTCAGCTACTTTGGAAGTCGTCTTGATAATTTCATGTTTGCACTGCTGATATAGTGGGGTAGTTTTATTTATTTATTTGAACACATGAACACTGGTACATAGACCACCAAAATGTTTTGCGCCACACTTCACCTTTCGATTTGTGTGAGGGCCAGAATACTCCCCGGGCGTCCAAACCGAAGCGACTGGTTTTCTTAGGAGGCCACTACACGAGCCTTTGACCTAGAGATCTAATCCAAAGACAGTGGAGCAGCGTTAGTAGATGCAGTCCTATGGTAGCCAGTGGCTATTAATAAGTTCATATACCATTTGTTCTCTTAGGACCCTGGAGCCCATTTACACCATTGGTTTGAAATTTGGGTTTCCCAACTCTCCTAGGTGAATCCTCCTTACTCATCAACTCACTTAAAGCGTCGGACATTCGTTTTTCATCTCAATTTCGTAAACCACACTGCCGCTACGAAAAGTCAGTGAGTGAGACTTCCCTGGCAGTGGTTGTATGCACGTGGCCATGTAATAGCATTTCGAGATGGTCAGCTGACTCTCCCCCATCCTCAGCCGTACTAAGGCATTCGAGGGCATAACCGTTACTCATATTATTTTTAAAATAAAAACTGTCTTTATGATCTTGTGATACTTTTGTTAGTTTAGTTCAAATATAGGCAAACGTTTTTGATTAATATCTAAACATGAATACAAATGCTATACATGGCGTACTACACATATTAAATGAAAAAGCAAATTTTCGGCGCCTTAAACCGGATGTTAAACATGGAGGATCCATCTAGAGATGTTGGAAAACCCTAATTCCAAACCGATGGTGAACATTGGGTACCAGAATCCTGAGGGAACAAATGGAGTACGAACCCCAATCTTGATCACCGAATACCATGTAATCGCGTCTCACAATGTTGCTACACTGTCTTGTGCATAAGACCTCTAGGTTAAAGCCTCAGGGAGTTAGCTCCTGAGAAAACCACCTGCTTAGATTTTAGCATCTCAGTAGTATTCCACACCTCACATAAATTTAGTGATTTGTATGACATATATATTTTGGTGCCCATTTGTCTTTTTCATAAGGGAGGGGCTCTGTCAAATCAAAGTAAATAAATAAACTGAGAGATGAAAACAAGGATACGTATCTGTTGCTGAATGAGTCAGCAATCCCGTTGCCTTTTGAATCAAAAATTAAATTACAACTTACTCTATATAATTTTAAATTTTACTATGATATTATCATTTATTCTGTCCTAAAATGAACAATGGCATGGAAACGTGTATGATGAATATTATAAAAGATTATACGAACACATCACATGTATACACATACATATACTGCTGAGGAGTTCCATAATAGGATGAAACGGCTGTCCAGTGCTTTCAAGTTTTCCATATTGGTCTAGCTTTAATTGACTCGTGATGTCGGTTTGGGCACCCAGGCAGTATCACAGCCCTCACACATATCAAATGAGATCTGTGTGGCGCCTATGTATTTGTTGCCTCCTTGTACGAATATCTATGTGTTAAAATAAATAAATAATAAATACACATATTAAATGTCAACATTTTGAACATTAAATGACTGATATGCGACATTTATTAGTGGAAGTAACGTTTACTAACGTAATCATCAATGTTAACCGAGGTTGTTTACCAATAGGGGATAGTTTTCTGTGCTAGTGTTTTGCAATCAACAATCAATTTTTATATTGTAGTTTTTGTTTCTAGATTTATATATGTTAATTGAGACTTAAAATTTGACTGATTGAAGTCTATACACAGCAAATCTTGTCCACAAATGTTAGTTAACTTCAAAAAGTGAACATTTTGCTTGCAAAATATTCTAGATTGTAAAAATTATCTTCAATCAGTAAATGAATAGAATCCAATGCATGTTGCATGTTTTAGGTGTTCATTTTCAACTATTATCTTGCTGGTTTATTTGTTCTATTTGAAGATCATGACCTCGATGTTAAAAGTAAAGGGAGAAGTTATTCAATCAAACTGTAGTCTAAATCTTCAAATTGTCATAAAAACTCACTCTTCAGTGTTTTCATCTCATGAATATGTTCCCGTGCAAATTATCATAAGATCGTTTGAGAATCATCATAAACCACTGTGCAACATATTAAGTATTACGTAACATTTTTACATAAAGAACTATGTTTTTTCTAAAATAATTCCAAATTATCTCACTTCTGACAACTTTCATGCAGATTCGTGACTAATTTCACCTGTCATAGTGTTGTGAACGAGGACGCAGGTTGGAACAACCAACGTTTTTTTAACACAAAATTACAGAATTCTTTGGTGAAATGTGAAAACCATATGTTCAGTACTTCATTTTCAAATCCTCCTCAAACGTCATCGTCCTTCATCGCCACAATAATTACTCTCTGTTCCCGTTCTCTTCAATTCTATCTTCCCAACCTTCTGCTGTCAGACATTCCACTTCCGACTGGTGTTATATACTACTTATATCGACATAAATAGCATACACCATAATACTAGTGGGATTAATCCTTGCTTTAATAATAATCATTTATGTGCACTTGACTAATATTCTCTTCTGTGGTCTAATTATCTACCTTTTGTATAAAATTGATCGGTCACTAAATAGTCACTTAAATACATATCATTCAGAGTCGCAGTTGAATAGGTTAATCTAAACTCCAGCGGACTCCTTTTGAGTGCCCTCATGGAAAGTAATGACCAGTTTTTCAAGAATAATCTCGGTTACAGTATTCGGTTCTTTGTACACTAACTCAGCTTTTTCATGGTTTTTAAAATTAAAACCAAAAATTTTTATTATAATTTTTTTTGTATTCTGCCCATAGTTGTTTGGTCGTTCCCTTGTTTTGTTTTGTATTGTATTGCCACATGCTGAATTCCATTCTGCGTCTACAACTTATTGGCTTTTCTTTTCATGGAGTCTCATTGAAATTGTTAGGTAAGTGATCTGCGCCCTCTCTAAATTGAACATCTCATCATTCCATCGTTAATATTGTATTTTTAGTTTTCATGAGAATTACGACCTTGTGAGGTGTTTTTACATTGTAGAGCATTTTCCATCTCTTATAAGCTGTTATGTGGCGAGTCTCCTTTGATATGTATGACGGTTTTCGTAGATGGCATTCGTTATGACACTATATGAGGTACTATCGAGAACCAATGAGGATAGAACAGCTGTTTCGCCCTTATACAGACTCGTCACTAAATCACACTTGCCTTAACACTTATGAATCAAAACACAAATGCCCATCCCAATTATTTGAAACCAGCGAAACGAAACTGTTTCCAAACTCCACCGATAGGTACACCTCCGTGAGTTGCAGGAAAAGGTGTCGAGACATGCTAGGTCCTACGGGTACACGCTGTGAATGGAGCGTTATTTTGATTTTTTTATCTAGGTCTCGATAAAAGCGACAATTCGTTGATATCGATCTATGACCTTAACCATATCTTTCTTAAAAACCTCAAAGTAATTCAGTTAAATGCCTTTTTTCTTTAAAAACAATAAATCTGTCTTTTTGGTTGTCAGAGTCTTTTAAGGTTTAGATGTTTTGTATAACCTTATTTTTATTGTTCGATAATAACCGTTCAGTACTATATGTCTAGTACAATATGGGATTTTCAGCACACACAATATTTATTCGTTTTATATCACAAAAGCAATAAAATAGTAGATAACTGCATGCATATGTACATGAAGGAAGTAAATTACCTATCTAGAATCAAATGAAATACCTTAAAGAGACAAAGAATCTACACAACTTTGAATTACTAACACATTCATGAAAATAAGTTTTGATTGGTTCAACTCTTACAACCTGTTCGTCGTATAGTAGATGTACAAGATACGGTATTATAGAACTTTTGCACTTTTGTTTGCGTGCATAGATTCTAATGTATTAGCATCCCGTCCTACCAAGAGATGTCATTAAAGTGGATGGTTAGTTTTTGAAAAAAGCTTCCCATTATTTTGGAAGATTTCAACTGTCTATCCACAATCATACCTTTCTCAAAACCTCAGGAAAGGATAATGGAGAACAGTAAACGAAAACAGACAATATTAAAGAAAACATCTACAAACCGCATGAAGTAGATGTCAAATAATCCTCAACGAATGAAGTCGTTTATTCAAAATTTATTTCAAGATCTCTAGGTTCGGTATTTAAGAGCACTTTTCTTCCAAATTATCGGTGATAAATAATGGCGTAAAAATGTAACCTCATTATATAATAAGTCAGACAAGAGAATTTTCTTCAATATTAACAAAATATGAGAAGACTAATAGAAGTTCAAGAAAAAATGTACACCAAGAGACTTTATGAGATTCCAGTTGGGCGTTTTTATGTGCTATCCATGTCTCAAGTTAAAGGTTGATAGCTTGACGCTAAAGAGGTTTTAATCTGAGTTTATTAAAAATAGAGTAGTAATGTATATATTAACTCATTCTAAGCATATTTACTTTCCAGCCTAGTGTAATGAACACGTAATTGATCATTGAACCATATTACGATTTACCTGTCCAGTGAATGAATTAAAAAACCAAAACGAAATATCATGTTTAGTAATTTCGATATTAACAAAAGAGATGGTAACATTATTAGTTTATGTGATTAAGGTACTTGATTTTCCATTATTATTTCTCACATATGAACTCTATTTCACGTAATTCGTCTTTGACAACTGTTCAGTACATCATCGCCTACATTGTACCTAATTATCAAGTATAATTCAAAACCGAAGAAACCTGTACGCGTTAGTAAATATGATACATTTCACGTCGGGCTCACTACTTTTTTTCTGCTGCTGATCTCACTCCGATTTAGATAAATGTATGAATATGCTATAAACATAAATCTTCCATTTAACTCCATATATTACTTAGGTTAACCCCGTTTGTATGACGGCGGTAATTAAGAATCTAAATACAGGTTGCGTTGGATGAATTTATTTCAAGTACTCGTTTATCCAGATAAATATTCAGAATAAGAAGTGAATCGGAGAAAGTGAGAAAGCCAACTTGTTTTGATCATGCATGACTCAATATTTATTATTAGATAAAAATAAGATACACACACATACATTTATGTAAAAACAGTCAAGCTTGATAAGCAAATAATCAACAAAGTTAAAAAGTAACTCAAGAATAAATAAATCTATCTGTTTAGTAGCTAGAATAACCCATATGGACTTAATATATAGTACTAGACATTGCAAACTATTAAAGAATGTACTTATGAATGTATAAAATATACTGAACACCTTGTTGTATATTAATTGTGAGTTTAAGCTGATGTTTTTTTGAAAATTATGTTTGCTGTTTTTCTAATATTCATCTTTTTTTGTTTACCCCATTCACTTGTTTATTTTTTCTTCTATTACAGGTATCCATATTACATTTTATCATTATTAAGTTTTCAAAATGGACTTATCACTTATTTACGTCATACATTGTGGATCTTATTGTATCCTATTGGATTTATATGTGAAGGTAAATAAGAATTAAAAAAAAATAAATAGTACAGATAGGTTGTTTTTTTGATTTTTTGTTTTTTAGTGAATTGTATTTATTTATTTATTTTCTTGATGGAGTTTGTTCTCTGAGCTGGATGGTTTCGTCGTGGAGTTTTCATCATTCTTCTGAATGACATAATCAGCACAGACTTCAGGTAGAAGTAGAAAAAGCTATAGGAAATTTGAAGCGTGGGAGAGCAGCAGGCCCTGATGGATTTACCCCTGAGATTTTTAAGGATGGCGGTTCCAGCATTAGCAGCGAGATTAACTGAGGTCCTAGGTAGAATCTGGGAACTGGACGTAATCCCATCTGACTGGTCTCAATCACTGATTGTGCCAGTCTATAAGAAAGGACAAAAGTCTTCTTGTGACAATCACAGAGGAATTAGTTTGATTAATATAGTGTCTAGAATATTAGCTTCAATAATACTTTGACGTCTAATCAAAGCTCGTGAAGAGCAGACTAGAGAAAACCAGGCTGGTTTTCGACCTGGACGTGGTTGTATAGACCAAATATTCACACTGCGTCAGGTCCTAGAACATAGACATACATTCAGACGCCCCACAATGGTAGTATTTCTCGACCTTAAGGCGGCATTTGACTCTGTTGATCGTGAGGTTCTATGGCAGTGTTTGTCACTGAATGGAATGCCAAAGAAGTACATTAACCTTGTAAAGGCTCTCTACTCGAACACAACTGGTCGAGTGAGAGCTTATTGCGAGTTGTCATCAAAACTGATTACCTCAAGTGGTGTTCGTCAGGGCTGTCCACTCTCCCCATTCTTGTTTAACTTTGTCGTTGACGTGCTTTTAGAGATAACACTTTCCACATCTGACTTTCCAGGCGTTGAACTTCTACCGAAAGATTCACTTGTTGACTTAGAGTATGCCGATGACATATTTCTATTTGGTGAATACGCTGACAAAATGCAGAGTCTACTGACCACTCTAAGCAACAATGCAGGCATGTTCGGCATGCGATTTTGTCCCTCGAAATGCAAGATGTTGTTTCAGGATTGGGTTGCGTTGACACCCGAACTAGTGATAGGCAGTGAAGTAGTTGAGCGTGTCGACCGCTTCACTTATCTTGGAAGTGTCAGCCCTTGTGGTCTGGTGTGTGACGAAATCTCAGCACGGATACAGAAGGCTCGACTAGCTTTTGCCAACTTGTGTCATTTGTGGCGTAGACGAGATATCCGTCTATCAACCAAAGGAAGTGTTTACTGCGCAGCAGTTCGTTCCGTCCTACTTTATGTCTGTGAAAGATGGCCAGTAAGAGTAGAGGATATTCGTAGACTACTAGTATTTGATCGTAAGTATCTTCGAAACATTGCTCGTATATCCTGGGACCACCGAGTAAGTAATGCAGTTGTTAGGAAACGGGTACTAGGTCAGGATGGCAAATGAATTGATGAAGTAGTGAAACTTAGTCAGTTGAGATGGCTGGGACATGTGTTACGCATGCCCGACCACCGACTGCCCCGACGTGTGATGTTTTATGTTGTAGGAGTAGGTTGGAAAAAAGCTAGGGGCGGCCAGACCAAAACATGGTACAAATCCATGAAGTCATTGACAAGTGGACTGAGCCATGTTGGTAGGTGTAGACTACCTGGTTGGGGACCGCGAGATGATAGCAACCGATGGTTAGAGACCTTGAATGACATGGCTCAAAATCGTTTGCAATGGCGCAGGTGCATCCACTCTCTGTGTTCTCTCAAACTCTAATCTTCTGAATTCTTCATGCCCTTCATTTTCTTTCCAAATCTATTCCACTGGATTATGCTCCTTAAATAACATCATCAAACCCTAATGTTCCGTATCACTACTTATACTTTCAGTACCTCTACCACTATGGGATTTGAATCGATAACTGAATCTCTGTGCTAATGTGGTATGGCAACTCGAACTGATGTACGTACGTACGAAGTTCCACGTTGTTACTGACTGACTGTTGATATTTAGGATTGAATTTCAGTCAATATTTGTTGAGATATATGTGAGTTCTATGCGGATCGCCTTTATATATTATTTACTTTGTCGCAAGCTCTTCAGAGTAGATAAATACCATAACCAGCAATGGAATCCAGGACTGGTGTTTCGTCTTGTTTTGGTTTTGTTAGCTAGCAGCATGGTTAAATCGAGACAATCTATTCTGGATGTGCATATATACCAACAAAGATTTATTGAAATTCAGTCCTGAATATCATTCAATAACGGGATAATAGTTAACTCCTTTTAAGCATTTTACCTGTTGAACAGGTTAATCGGTATTTGGACTAAGTAAGTTAGTGGTGGATACATGGGGTTGTGAAGTGAAAGGTACTAGATTGAAGTCTCAATATGAACATAAACATTGAGATACAGGTACATTCAGCTAGTGATTCCTAAATAGAATGAAACCCTGCTTTGTGGATTTTATTGCTAACCACAATCCTCCTGTTTGAAATTCTTAACTGACTTATTATTACTAATATCAATACTTAAACTAAGATTTAATAATCAGCGATTCACCAGGGGATTTTTTTTCTTGTTCTCTACACTTCCATCATTATTTATTATGAAAAAATAATATATATTCTGTCGTTTTTACTTATTATCAGGCAAATTAATAATTCGATCATTGCCTTTATTGGTTGAGTCTCGAAGATTCTGTTTAGAACTACCGAATCCAGCTAATGTTAGCTTTGATTTTACAACTTTTCTGCAAATCTATATATTTTCTATGTCTTTTGGTAAGTGAATTTTTGAGCTTATATTTATTAAACATGCTAACAACCAACAATATTTATGAACTGATAATTACTCAGGCAAATTGTACAGTGTTAGTTATTAAAAGGCACCCGTCATGAAATCCTGTTTGACCTAGGTTTTATGCTAGTACACACTTCATTATTAAGGTATACCTTTCATATTGAGGAAAGAGATGCTCCCTCTGGGATTCAAATCTCAAGAGATGCAGTCGAATGGTAGCATACGATAAAACTATTTCATACATCTATTCTTTCCCTCATTATCTCGGAGTCATTCTCATGTATACCATTATTTCGAGATCGGAGTTTCCCATCTTCCCTAGGTAGATGCTTCGTACACACCGGCCTGGTTTTAGCATCAGATGTCCGCTTGTCATACTTTCATTCTTGTAAAAACACCCGGTCAACAGAATACTATCTTACTAGTCTTCACCTACCTAATTTGTTTCCCCGACCCCAACGCCCAAAATACACGAATTTCTAATTGGACAGATAAATTATATTCTTTTTTATTTATACAGTATTTTATTGATTTTTATTTTCTCCTCAGGTTTATACTATAATATGAGACATTTATATTTGAGGCGGCGTAAAATAATTGGTCCTCGACCAATTAAAGGAGCAGATCAAATGGGTTATTTTTCTTTTGTACCATTCTTGCGTTCATTAGTTCGTGGATCAAATGTGAAAAATCTCTCTACTACCACTAGAACTATTAAGAAGAAGTATGTAGATAATCGCAGCAGTTTACCGAAATTAAACTAACTTATTTCTTCGCATAACATGTATATTTCCATGATGTAATAATTGTTAAATGAAGTGATATTTTATTCTATGTATCTTAATGAATAAATCAATTGTTTTTTATTGTCTTAACCTTTTGCTTATTTCATTGAAATTATGGATTGATCAATGTTCGACCAACATTGGAAACCTGAAAGTACTGGACAACCGTTTCATCTTAGTATGGAACTTTTCAGCAGTGCGCATCCACGATCCCGCATGCGGGATTCTAACTTTTTTTTTATGCGTATATTGCATAGTTTCGTTAACTTCCAAAGTCTTTGATATTATTTGGTTAGACAATGTTAAATAGATATATATGTTTACCGATTGTATGTTTCAGTATAACGGGTTGATGACACAATATATAATTCTCCGATGTGATACTTAGGCGAAACAGTATATTGTACAACGGTAGTAATAGAAGATACATATGATATGTGCTGGAAGAATTTTTTCCAAGGAGTCACTTTTTAAGCGGACAGATGATGAGTGGAAATCGGATAAATGTAGGGTGGGGAAGGTAGTATGAACCTACTGCAAATGTCTATATACATATACTTAAATTGTTTTTAGTGCATTCAATTGTGCACATCAACTGGCTTTCTGACCGAATGACGCCTAATAGTGGGTAAAGTAACTTTAGAATGTCGGTTTGAGAGTATATAAAAAGTTAATATAATAATAGTGTAATAGTAATCGCTGAATGCGACAACGTAAGCTGAGTTTCTCAGAATTATATTGATACATGACTATAAATGTAATCTGTACACCAAACGGTCAGATTTTATTGAGTTCACTTTACGTGCATCTGAAAAAAAAAACAAATCAGTAGCTTCAAGATGTACAAGTAATAGGCATATTAAACTGTATATAGCTTAAATCTGAATCTTGGATTTGATAAGTACACTTATTAGTAAATGACATAATGGGGTGGAGTTTTGCCTATAAACCTTTCTACATACACAATCGCACTAGTGATGTTTTCCGGAACCAAATCGTTATATTAAGTTGTAAGGTTGTGGTTGGAGAAAGCCGATAGGAAACAATGGAACTAGGTTTCATGTTATTTAGTAATTGTCAATGAAGTGTACCTGCAATCTTGAGGGAACTAATGTTCCCCATGGAATCCGAACCCATACCACCCAGCTTCACAGTCAAAGACGTTACCACTGAACTGACCTCCCGAAGGACTCAGATATATTTGCGATTGATTGATTATTGAGTAGTGATCAATGCCATATAAAGAAGTCCTTTTTATTGCTGATCGAATTCAATTGACTAAGTTGTTATGTGGTGATTAGTCTAACAAACTCAACATCGTATACCCTATGCTGAGATGTAAGGTGGTGATTCGTTATATTGAGTCACTGAATTAAACTTATTTACAGATCAGGTATATAGTATGGTATCATTTCATTTCTTAACTTTTTACTGTCAAGAAAGATGTGTAAAACATTCTTCATCAACTCGAATTTGCTGTTAATTACAGTTCATTATGTGTATTTTGTTAATGTTAGTGAAAAAAATTAATATACGATTTACTTATTTGTGTCTTAATCAAATAATTCAACTTTTATTAGTTAGTATTTGATGTCTTTTTGTCAGTGATATGACCTAGTAAAAAAATCGTTAGTTTGTTCTTAATCTTACTCATTATACATCAGTAAATGTTATATTTTCTTTGTCCATTCAAATCCTAATTTTTGTTTATTATCTAGTTAATTTCTTTTCGAATAATTTTCAAACATTTCATGTTGTGGTTATACTTAACGGTCACTAAGTGTGTTATACTCAAAACTTTCGATCAGTTTTTTGTTTATTTAGTAAATGAGTACTCGATATTAAAGTATGGTTTTCATTAAAGATTTCATTCTAATCCCTTTAAATAGTGTTTGTATTATTCGGCAGTGATGTCAATATCATAGGTATGAGAGCATTTGTCACTTCCCGGTTCTTTATACCATGGAAGGATATTTATTCTTAGAAATGTAAGCTAGATTAGTAGTGACCTCAGAGAGACAGCTGACTGTGATCGGTTACACAAAGGCTTTTTATGGAAAGTTTTTAATGTGCTAGCTATGTAATTTAATGCTCTTACCACTGAAAAAGGTGTAACATTTTTAGAGTCGATATTTTCTAATCCCCTTCTTCCATTGTGGGATGACAGGATCTCTGAAGAAAACATTTTACTGTGATCATATCACTCTACAGTCAACAGTACGACTTCATCATCAGACCTTGAGTTTCTGCTTTTACTGATATAGTAATATCTAATGGAAAAAGTGTTCCAACCTATATAAGTTGGTTGGATCATGATGATAATCTCATCTACTCACCTCTTGAACCTATCAGGTAAACATTCATCAACTCATTAAATAAAAAAGAAGTTTGCAGTATATCTAGAAAAAATAACAAGTAATAATAATCATATTATCATTATTAATTATTCTACAAATAAAATTTAAAGTAAACAACAGATTAAATTGTTAAAAAAAAACAAACAAATGTAGAAATCATTCAAATAGAGAAACGAGTTAAAGGATGAAAAAGTAGGTGATAATGAATTGAATGGTCAGTAAATAGTAGCTGCAAAGTAAGATGATTATTACAAAAACTACAGTAAAAATACAATACAAAATAATTATAGTAATAATAATCAACTAAGGATTTATTTTCATGATGGATAATCTCTTGTTCTTTTCTTTTTTTTTGTTGTTGATTGTAACTCAATCGACAATATAAGAATTTGTAGTGGTGGTGGTAGTGGTAGGAGTAGGAGTAGGAGTGGTAGTAGTAGTAGTAGTAGAAGAAGAAGAAGAGAAGGGAAAAGAAATTTTTCCTAACTAATAAGTTAACTAAATAGATTATTATTATTACTATTTTTTTTTTGAAAAAGAAAGAGAAAAACAGTACAAAAATCATTAGATAAATTTTTTTTATTGTTATTAATAAAGAATAATTTTGTAAAACTAAACAGATAGAAATAAATAAGTGGGAAATAAAAGGCCTATTTATTAGTAAAGAAAAAAGAGAGTGCATTGAGATTGTGGTGTTGAACCCCTTAGAATGTTGTATAATTATGATAGATGATTAACACTGCTGTATATGTATAATGATATTTATTATTATTATTATTATTATTTTTTTTTTTTGAAAAAGAAAATCTATTTTCAGAAATAGTAAGGTAGAATGATCTAATTATATACGTTTATATATATTTATATAATTTTGGGTATAATAATTAAGCTTCAGTTTGATCTTCTTGTTCATTAATTGGACTTTCATCTTGTATTAGTCTCCCAGTAGTTGTACTATATTTACGATTTTTATGAAATATACAATTTGCTGCACCTTTTGGTTGATCATATTCTTCCATTGATAAAGATCTATTTCTAGCTACAGGTATTGTACTACTCATTCGTCGATTAACTAAGCCACCAGCTAAAATGAAAAAATAGATATTTATGTATGCTCTATTTGTTACAAATGTAGGTAGTTAAGCCAACAAATGCCCTGTTACGACCAAGGGTAGGGAGAATTAGCTCTCCCTCTCGAAATGCTCTCACATGGCCACGCGTATACAGGCACTACGAGGGAAGTCATACTCAATGCATTCTCGCGGCGGGGTTGTTGTTTACGGAAAAGAGAGCACGAAAAGCGAATATTCGGCGCTTTAATCGGGTTGGTGGACGAGAAGGGTTCACATAGAAGAGTTGGGAAACCCTGATTCCAAACCAATGGTGCATATGTGTTCCAGCATCCTGAGGAAACATATGGCGTATGAACAAAGTGTTGGGACTGCATCACCTCAAGTTCCTCCACTGCCTTGTGGATTAAACCTTTAGGTCGAAGGCTCGTTTCGGTTTGGGTACCCGGGTAGTATCACAACCCACACACAAATCAAGTGACTTGCGTGGCGCATATGTATTCGGTGCCCCTTTGTACTAATATTTATGCGTTCAAAAGAACAAATAAAAGTTATGCTTACCTTTTGACTTTCAATCACTACATTTCTAATTCAATATCGAGAATTCAGTAACTGGGGCATCATCACTGACTACTTGTTCCATAATTTATTATAAGAATTTATTAACGTTTTTTAGTCTTTAGTCGAATGGATACGCTTTGTTAAAATAACGTGCATAGATATATGCATTCTATTTAGTTTATAAGCAGTTAATCGGAAAGCTGGTCAGCAAGTGGGAAGCACAAGATATCACACATATTTAACAATTCATCAACATAAAAAGTTGATAGTCTTCATTGCTTTTCAGCATTCTTGTAGTCTTGGTGACTTGCATTGAAATGCTTGATCTACTTGAATAATTGTTTACTTTAGTGTGTTATCATCATTAAAAGTAATCAATATTTTTTGAATTTCCTAAGAATATTCGTTATTAAAAAGTATGGAGGCTCATTGTACGCCTTTATTGAACAGAAAACATAGTGGAATCGACCGATTACATACAACAACTTTATTATGAACTGCCGTTTAGAGACAATACAACTAACCAACATCGGCATAGCATTCTTTTCTAAATCAGAACAGACGCTGTTAGAGTGGGTTCCAATATATAGTCATTTTGACTAAACGGAACAGTAAGAGTTCGAAAAGATCGGGACACACGCCATTGTCTTCTCATTGTCTCTGCCTACCCTCCCACTGATGAATTTTGTAGGAAGTCATCCAATTCGCTACAAAAAACCAAACGCTCTGATGTAGCAATAGTGGCGGGTGATTTTAATGCTCAAGTAGGTAAATTAAACCAATCCAAAAGGTACTTAGGTGGATCTTGTGGTGTTGCGACCCAGCGAACATATACTGGAGACCGTCTATTGCAAATATGCTCAGATAACTGTTTATTTCTGGCAAACACTTAATTCGAACAAAAGGAGATACATCATCTGACATAGCAACCTTTACAATAGACTCACCTATGAACTCAAATAAATCACATTGCCATTATGCATCGTTGGAGGGGCTCGATCGAAGACTCGCTCATTCTAGAGCCCATCTTTAGACTCGGACCAGGCTCTAGGTCGAGCACAGATTTATCTGAGTCTTACTAGATATAGAAAAGCTATGGCAAAGAAATCCCTTAGAGTTTAACTTAATGATGAAAAAAATTAAGAATATATTTCAGGAACAACCAGAAAAGGAGTTATCCAACCTTAAAACTGATATCCACCCCGAGGTTGCTTAATACGATATCAAAAAGGCTGTGGAAATAGCAGCGATATATACTGGCAACTTAATCCAAAAAGTTGGAAGAAATCAGTGGATTTCAGCAGAGTCTACAGTACTGACAGGTGCTCGTAGACTCATTTCATCTAGTGGTGAACAAAATAAGAAGGCGAGACAGCTTAAACGTAGGGTGACATAAAGCCAGTGGTGGGTAGCAAAAGTAGAAGAAATGGAAAAGGCAGCAGAGATAGGTAACAGCAGACAACTGATCAAACTTATCCAGGAAGCGAGTATAAAAAATCTGACTGTTAGTGAAACTATCTCGAAAAAAGACGGGACTATTATTCTCTCTCGATCCAATAGACTGAACCGATATGATGAACACCTAAGGTAACAGTCAAACTGACCCTCAGAAAAACTTCGGTTACCTACTATTCCTAACTAACTTGAATAGCAAACTGATGTAAGTTATTTAATCCTTAGTGAAGTTGAAAAGGCTATAATCAGCCTAAAACGGGAGAGCATCAGGGCCTGATTGACTAACCCCTGAGATTTTTAAGGATGGTAGTCCAGTTAGATTAGTTAAAATCTGGGAACTGGACGTAATCCCATCTGGCTGGTCTCGATCGCTGACCATCCCAGTTTACAAGAAAGGACAATAATCCTCTTGTGACAATCACAGAGGAATCAGTCTAACTAATGAAGTGTCTAAAATATTAGCTTCAATAATACTTAAACGTCTAACTAGAGCTCCTGAAGAACATACTAGGGAAAATCAGGGTGGTGTCAGATATGAACGTGAATGCGTAAAACAAATATTCAGCCTTTGGCAGATTCTGGAACATAGACAAACTTTTCGACGTTCTTTTGCAGTAGTATTCCTTGACCCTTAATCGTTGTTCGACTGCGTTTATCGCGAGGTTCTGTGACAGTGTTTTTTGTTGAAAGGGGTACCAAAGAAGTAAATTAATCATGTATATACTATTTACTCGAACACCACTGGTCAAGTCATAGCTTATGACAAGCTGTCATCGGAATTGGTTACTTCAAGTGCTGTTCTTCAGAGTTGTCTTTTTTCCCCATTTTTAATTAACTTTGTCATAGACGTGCTTTTAGAGATAACACTTTCGTCGTCTGACTTCCCAGAAGTTTGTTTTCTACCACAAGATTCACTTAATGACTTAGAATACCCAGATGATATTGTGCCGTTTGGTGAGGACGTTAAAAAAGTACAGAGTCTTCTAACCACCTAAAACAACAATCCAAGTATGTTTGGGATGCGGGTTCCTCCATCCAAATGTAAAATATTACTTCAGGATCGGCTTGCATCATCGCCTGAATTCAAGATAGGGAGCAAAAGTGATTGAACGCATCAATCACCTCAATTATCTTGAGTCTCATCAGTTTTGACAGTTTGAAGTTTGATGAAATCTTGGCACAGATTCAGAAGACTCGATTGGCTTTTGCCCACCTGCGTCGCTTGTGGTTTAGGCTACGATTCTCTTCTAAACAAAGGGAGAGTTTATTGAGCAACAGTATAAAACAAAATGATGATACATGGTAATCACTTTAAGTCATACAAATGCCATATTTAATTTTGGACTTATGATCAACTAGTGGCTTAGTCGATAAAGTACTGAACTTTTAGTCCGTAGGTCATAAGTTTAAAGCTTGTTCTGAATGTTTCAGTTTGTGGAGTTTGGTACTATTACCATTCTAAGATGTTAGGTATTTAGAATTAGATGACAGAAAACTTTATAGTCTCGATATAATACACGCAATGTGAAGCCATTCAGGCTAATGGTTGCATTTCAAATTGGTTTATGGAGTGAAGTCAAAACTTGAAGGAACAGACAAAATGGAATTCGATCACAATTCAGTGATCAAACAGTATTAATAATGTGCCACAAAAGTAATGTGTAATAAAGAACTGAGTACATAGCCAAGTACAAAATAATATTTAGAATTTCTAGAAATAAAGCTTACATAATAAGTGTTTAAATTTACTTAAGGTGATTAGTGAATCATTATTATAATATTTATATATACTTACCTAAACCTAATCCCTGGATAAAATATTGTAGACATTCGGCAACTTTTTCAGGCTGAATGGAAAGTAAAAAATTTAGCTGGTTTAATTTTTGACTAAAATAAATTATATATATATATATATATATATATATATATATATATATATATATATATATATTGTGAGAATAAATTACACGAATATTCATAATAGAATACAAAGCCAATAATTACATGAATCTTGATAAAAAATTGCATAATATAGTTTAATGATAGCCGTACAGTACTTGGTTTAGCAAGATTGGATAACTGATATGACGTTTGAATAGAAATATTTTCTGTTTTGCGGTTTAATAATATAATATAATTATATGGCTGGTGATCTAAATTATACGACTACTAGACTGGATACTCGATGAGTAAAACATGCACAGACTGAATCACGTTATACCAAATACGCTATTCAAGAATAAAATTTAGAGAACTGAATTATAGACTAGACAGTACTTTATTCAAAATGGTCTACAGTCTACACTCAGTATTTCCTGAGTAAAAGTCAATAATAAAAAGTAAATCATATATTGAATAGCTAGTAAGTTGTGTCTATCAGTTCACGCTTAATGGTCACTAGTCACATATCAATGGTAATTTACTGTCTAATATTTCCAAAAAAATCTAATCTGGAGGTTTTAAACTAAGGAAAATTGAACGACATTTTAAATGAAGTATAGATATAGGTTCTACATCATTTAGTCAGTAGATCATATGCAACATAAAACCCGGTAATATGTACATTGGTTGAAGTAGCTATACTATACAATCATAGGAAATTGAAAAATAAATCCCTAAGTGGTAGAATTACTGACAGTATGAGTAACGGTAGAAAATGTTAGCTGTGGACAACATAATTTAAACCTTCAGATCCGACAGATGACAAAGAGTGAACGCCCTGCACCAAGGAGACCGATTCTAAGCTACATTAACTAATGTTTTTAACCAGTGACTAAAATTATCATACCGACGCCAATTTCATAGTTTATACCTACCAACACAGATTAAAACAGCAGCTAAGGCATTGATAGACTTGTGCTACGTTTATCGTTTAGCGTATTTACACTTTCCTACAATCTAATCTTAACTTAGACACCACTGCTCATTGAGACAGGGATTGGTTGAACATACGTGGTACATGTCTCAAATTCCTCAGTATGTAGAGGATCACAACCTCATCAACTGATTTTCCACCCCTACCCAGTACTTTGCATTCAACTGTGATGCTGGAATATACGTGTTCAGTGCTTCGAATGCATGCAATGTTAAATACCTGCGGCGTGAGGATGTTTTCCACTTTCAATGACCGTATTTCAAAAACCATAAGCTAATACAAAGAAAATATTAGGGCAATATACAAGCCGATCGATGAATAAGTAGCTCAGATTACAAGTGACTTAAGTTAATGCTGAAATTCCGTTAGACATCAAATCATCACGTCTAATGAAACTTTGGAGTTATGTGACATGTTTGATACACTTTTAACTACTTCATTCTTTATAATTAAATTATTTATGTACTTGTATATCATTGTAGATAATTAACAATTTATATATAACCTTATTAGAATTAATGACAATGAATCTTAATGACTTATGAAATTCATGTTTATCATTCATGTTTATAATTATTTTATAAAATTTCATAGAATTAGGTCAATACTTCAAAGGGATTTAAATGATTACATAATTATTTTTTTTTATGAAAAGGAGAAATTTAAAAAAATAGTCATAATAAAACTTATATACATAATTTGATAAGATTTTGACATGTATACTACTCGCATCAAGTAATTAGCGGATATATCATTTTGATTTTCAAAAGGATTCAATGAATAAATGATAAATAGAATATCGACTATATATTTGTAATATATATATATATATATATATATATATATATATATATATATATATATATATATATATATATATATATATATATATATATAGTTAGTGTGTGTTTTGTGCTGAAATAACACTATATCTATCATAATGGAATTAATTTGAAATTATTTTTAGTTTCCAAACGAGTAACTTATCATTCATTTATTAGATTGAGGTCGAATCATATTCATCTTTAAAATTTAATTACTTTCAATTTAAAACAATGGTTATGTAATATTACCAGTGATTATTTATTGTAATTTGAATGACTGTATGCAATTAGAAGGGAACCCTAACACTTAGTGTTACTGTTAATTGGTAATTATCTACACGGAATATCTGTGATCACGATAAAACTAATATTAGAAGAAGGTTTCGAATCTATGTCATTCAGTATCACAATTAGTGATGTTATCACTAAGCTGTTCAGTTCTCTAGTAATCATTGGAAGCTCTCGAGAATTCATCTACTAAGCATTCAGAAGATGCAAGAAGACTGAAAACACTTCATTTAATCAGCATTCAGTCGAAACTTTGCAAACATTTCTGAAAATACAGTAGATTATGTGTAATACTCTGATTAGATAACTTTCTATATTGTTACCGTCTCAAGAAACTCCCTGAATATCAAGGTCACTTGTAAATGTATAGGTACTCTTGCTTTCTGTACATAGACTAGTTTTGGTAGCGAAGCTTCTGTCTACATTTTCTATCTTGTATATTCCGTTCGAGATGTAAGTTAGGAGAATTCTGAGGAATCGATGGGTGGTTACGAAGTCATTATCAAGAGTTTGAGTACACGATATATCAATGATCTATAGTAGAATTAAAGCATTCATATTGAATAATATAATATTAGCTGCTACTATTACTACTATAACTACTCAGTGATTATTCTCTAAAAGATTTAGATATTTATTTCGCGGTAACATGCAAATGATGACTCTTACAGATACTGTAATTCATTTCACATAGAGTTGAATGTGGTAAACAATCAAAAATATAGAACTAAAGTAAAATACATACAGATAAATTTTTCTAAATTTATTTTATGTTGAAGACTATTTTTAACCAAGTGAATTTTTTGCAAATTATTCACAAAAAAGACTATTATAAAAATTCTTATCAAATTCAATGTTTATTCAATGTAAGAATAGACTTGTAATTTATAATGAAAGAAAACAGTTTATTTGTATACTAATGCTGTAATGGACTTTTGACACGTTTACTTCTACGCAGTTAATCCATATGATTATATATATATAATCCTATGGGAGTGGATCGTGTTGATCTACTCTTACTTCAATTACTTAATACCTCATTTTCCTGTAGAAATATAAATTTAGAATGATCGAATAAGTCGATGAGAAAACAAAACACGTCTAGTATGTATGAATTTTTCTCAAATGAATAATTGTTAAATATAAGAAAATAGGATGTTTTCTTATTTTTTTTTCGAAATTCTTCCATCATCTTCTCTTCCTATGTGTGTACATTTGTAAATGCATTTAGGCAAATGTCTGGTTGTTGTTAATTATACGGTACTTTTTTTGTAATTTTAAAACACTGAAAAATGTAGTTTTTTTTTTACTTACTGACTAACAATAGTTTAATAAACTTGCATAATGATATATGAGTAAATTGCGAATAAATAGAATATTTATTTAGTTATAATAATAATAATAATGCATAGATTTTGCGAATACATCAGATGTATTTTTCTTGAATTGAAAACTCACTGATTTATACAATATGCATCTAGTACAGTTTGTATCATGGAATTATCTCAGTTAAACAGCTACTGAACATCAGGAAGCACTAGACAGTTGTTTTGTCCTAATACAGGACTCAATAGTGCGCATCCACGATTCCCTAGGAATGGAATCAAGTACTTTCGGATAGTGACGCAATACCTCGCAATGATTTAAGTTAGAAATGTAAATCACTAAATTACAACTCATTGGTATAAATATTAAGCACTTGAAGCGAGAATCAGTGGTTCTTGGTTTTAGCTTCAATGACCTCGCAAATGTCCACTGGTTATAGGCCTCATACTGGGATGGAATAGTTGTCTAATGCTCTCTTTCTTTCAGTGGTTACTTATTAAGATCAATCCTTGATATAAACTATGAAATCCAATAATCTTTGTTTCAGGTCATCTAAATGTATGATCGTCAGTTCACCAGCTGTTGCGTGACATAGTTTTCATCTGTTTCTAACCCGTGGAATTAAAAAATTAGTGGTGATTGTTTACCTTAATTCTTAAAATTGATGACAAGATAAAACTTTTATAACTTCTAATACCTATCAAACATTAAGTGATCTCAGTAATTCCCTGGCTTCATTAAGAAATAAAAATTGCATTCAGTCCTTAGTTAGTACTCGAAAGCTCTTTAGGATGTGGATCGATCCATCTATCAAGTATTTAGCAAATTGTTCATGAGACTCATAGACTCACCAAATGTAATCTAATAATAAATAAAATTTCTCTCATGCAATCTATTCAACTCATGTGAAGCAATAATTTGTTTGAGATTGAATTCCATAGGAAGCATCAGTTACCTCATTGTTGCGAGTATTCATTACTGACAAGTACCAACTAACACGAAACCTAGGTCGACAGTTTCCTGTCAACTATCTTCAACTATCTAACATGAGTTTTCCCATAGTTATGCGTTAAGAAACTTGCTAGTTAATATTTATTATATAAAAGCAAGGAAATGATATCGATCTGTCACATAAAGGAGTTATGTTCAAAATAAATACGTGTTTTTATAACAAATCGGAGTATTACTATAAATACAACATAATTCTTACCTGTTCACTTAATACATTTGCCACATTATCTAGTTGAATCAATTCAACTTTACCTTGTAGATTTGGATCATTTCGTACAGCGGATAGAACAGCATTGTATAGACGAAACACTGTATGATTATGTGATGCTAATGCACCGGTTAGAAATAAAACGGGACATCTAGAATTATAAAAAATGGCAAAGTTGTGAGGTAGTGTCAATTCGTTTATAACAACTATAATCTTATCTATTTATACAATCTGAAAATAACAATATGAATTATCGGATGTCAGTTCACATTAGTGTGAAAGTGACGGACTCTCCAGGAGATTTGAAGTTACTGGGTTTCATCCTTCATGATGAGCTTTGACAAAGCGTTTTACATTATAACATAAAATCTGTTCAATGCTCTTTTTCTGCAATGATTGCCTAGCTAGAATTAATCTGTTGGGCGAACTATCTTTAAATTTCACATTCCCCATAATTTTCGTTTACATATTTACTTACTTACGCCTGCTACCCCTGGTCGAGGAGCATAGACCGTACACCAGCACTCTCTATCCAACCCTGTCCTGAGAAATCCTTTCCAGCTCTTTTTATTTGCTATTCATCCTTTTTATGTCTGCTTCAAATTCCCGACGTAATGCGTCCTTCGACCTTCCTTTTTTCCGTTTACCATCAGGATTCCAGGTTAGGGATGGCCTTGTGATGAAGTTTGGTGATTTCCGTAATGTATGTACTATCCAATCCCAATGTCTTTTCCTAATTTCCTCTTCAGCTGGAAGCTGGTATATCCTCTCCCACAGAAGGCTGTTGCTGATGGTATCTGGTCAACAGATACTGGGTATCTTGCGTAGACAACTGTGTATAAATACTTGTATCTTTTTGATGATGTTTGTAGTAGTTCTCCTGGTTTCAGCCCCATACAGTAGAACTATCTTGACGTCTGTAGCTCTTCTAGGGTTACTGCCTGTCCTAAGCTCATGTAAAGGAGGAGGGTTAGGCACTGGGTCGGCAACCTCATCCTGTTAAAAAACATCGCTAAAAAACTCCAAATAGACGAAATAAATTAAACCATTTAAACTTTGCTCTGGGCGTTGAAGGAAGAATTACGATGCCTCAGGATGATAGCCGAGAATCTTCGTAAATCACGAGGCCGATGCTCCTTCTCATAACCAGAGCAAAAATTTTTATAGGTACATTGAACCTCCGGACAATATAAGAAACCGGAAGGATCAGTCAAGTAACGACGGAAACTTGGCAGTACTCAGAATCTTCGTTTACCATGAATAATTAGTAACGCTGGATTATAAACTTCTTATGTCGGGAAAACAATGATTATTTATACAAAATCTCTTAGTTTTAATTCTTTAAAGATCGATAATAATAAAAAAATTTTCATAAAAAAACAAAACATTTTTAGTTGAAATACTGAATGAATAGTAAGCACCCACTATGTGGATTCAAACCAAGTGAATGACTCAGTAAAGTGCTATCTTTTCAGAGATTTTATTCTCAAAGCTGCACAATACCACACATACGTTTATGTATAATAATGTATAAAATTCATTCGTTTTTAACAACGACTTGTCAAACAGAAGAACTAAGGATTTAAAAATAAGCAAACGTTCAAAACTCCATTTTTCCTATTCACAGATTATAAATATATGATCATTAGAAATTTGCAACAATTATCCAAAAAATACCATAAAAATTACAAGAAAGCGCTGAAGTGGCCTTAGTCTATCAGGTTTTCCTGTAATTACATATCAATTATTTTCTTTAAGACTAACTTCAACGGTATTTTCCTAACTCAAGTTTACTCAAGAATATTTGCCTTTATCTGATTGGTTGCTATGGCTTTTAGTTTGCTAACTTTGTTATGGGCTCCAAGGTTATTTCATGATACTATGTAAACAGAGTTGCTTCTTTTTAATTTTTGACTTCTTTTTGAAGCATAAAGCTACGCTGAAGTCCTATGTTCGCTCTCTCTGTCAGCATGTGGAATATTTACATTGAAGTGTTGTCATGTCAAGCGTAAGAAACATTCGAGATCCTGTTCATTTTACCCATAATAGAACAATTCTAAAACATTTGCAAATAAAATTTACTGTAGTTCAACCGGAAAAGGTTTGGCTATTGTGAAAATTCTAGGTTATCAATGTAATATTTGAATTGTTCTCATTGTTAGTGATTAGAATTGAACTCTAACCAATCGTTGCTGGTGTGTGTACATCCTGTATAGATTGTTTCAACATGATCATTTGTCAAAAGTTGAATAAAATGGATAGATTGTAGCTAACAGTCGAACGCATTATACACATTTAGCCCAATTTAGGAGTGATCAGCGAAAATTACTTAAATCGAGTCCTAATATAAATATTAATACTGCGATACAGGTAAATCTATAATGAATTCAAAACATAACGAAATACGTCTCCTATATTCCACTTCTAGTCATAATCTATCTATTCTATACAATCATGGTGGTCCACACAAGTTTCTTTCGTATAGATAATTTTGACTTCACAATGTACATGGTAAGCTTTCGTTCATCTTGTGAACGACACTAAATGATGAGTTGTGTTCTAGATGAGTAATCCATGTTCACAAAGTCCCCCTTCTATTTCATTCATTACTTAGAACTATTTTTCTACTAGTTCCTAAAGCTGTTCATTTTTGGGTAAATTTCTGATGCTTAAACTGAAACCTTGTAAATTTATACTCCTCAGGGAATATAACTGCATATGAAAGTTTATGTTAATCTGACTATATGTATCTGTAAAATCTTCTATAAATAATAATGTATTCTCCAATAAAACCAATAGAATATGTACCTTATAAGCTCATCTACTGTCATGTAGTTGTCTGTTAGCAGTAGTGGTATAAATAAAAATACTTCGGACACTATACAATACCATCAGATGAACTTAAGTGGAGATTTGTGATATTTTTGTATTATGATTTACATTATAATCCAAGATACACTCTTATTATTTTAGGTCTCGTTAGCTGAATGTAACTGGATTCAAGTATTAGTATTCACACTAAAACTGAAGTCTAATATTTATCACTTCAAACATCAAACTGTTATTTAACAAGCTATTGAGTCGAGATGGCTACTGACATATTCAAAGGGTAATCAGATATTTGTAGAGGTTTTGGATTATCCATGTTGCTTTAATATTTGAGACTTGATTATAATTGGTCTGTACTGTGATTTCCTACAACAAATTCTTTATATATATATATATATATATATATATATATATATATATATATATATATATATACGAAATTCGATTTAAAACAACAAAATTATTTCATTTTTATCTTATTAAAAATTAGTGAAAACTTAAATGAAAGAAACTAAACCAGTTTATCAGTTTTACATCCAATGGTTACTTACCATTTATTTCATAAGTTAATTTAACTATTTATACTAATGTATACGAGTAACTGATCGGTGGATAATGATGGTTAACTTGAGTAAAACAAATTTATATTAGCTGTCACAAGTATATTACTATTGTTTTAATTAATAGATTACACAATAAGATTAATTTATTAATCTATTTAAAATTGAAACTATGTGAAATGTTGAATATCATCATTTCATTGTTCATGAATGTTTTAATCATGTGAAATTTCATTTTAAATTAATAAGCAAACATAGAAATTAGACTAATATTATCTATATTTTATTTAATGAATTCAATTTGACATATACTACTTAGTCAATAAACAAAATAACTATCTAATCATTATTTAACTTACCTTATTTGATCGACATGTTCTAAGATTTTTGTACGTCTAAAAATCATGTATAAATTAGATAAGTTAATTTATTTGATATTGTATTGTATAATCTATTTTTATATTTTGTAAACCACAAAATAATATAATAAAGGAAAACACATTTTAAAATGTATATAATTTAATAAGATAGCTATACTGATATAATTTACTGTATCAGTCAACCTTCTAACAACCTCTCGATCTTAAGCTACTTGAAAATATTAATGTTTCAAAGAAAATTGATATGTAAAGAATTTATCGGATTTCGAATTTTGAGTTTATTCAGTCGTGTACCGACTACACTTCACTAGCTATTAGTTACAGAAATTATCAATCGATATATAAAGTTTTTTTGAAGGACATTACTGAAAGTTACTCTGCCTGGCTATCTAAAGAACTATAAAATGTAAGTCAAACACTCAATCCGGGAATATTTAATTAATTCTGATCACTCCGTTTCCTCAGAATCCTCATTCAAAATTATTCGTTTAGTTAAAGGGATCAGATCGAAAGGAGTAAAAATAAAAAAAAATTATGTACAGCAGGGTCTCTAATAGTTTATTAATTCAATCCCAACTTTTCCATACAAAAACATTTTGTTCAATCGCCCATTCTACCTTGGTCTTAACTGTTCTTTATATCAGAAGGGGTTTTGTGGAGATTGTAGTGATTTCAATGGTTAAGATTATGAGTCAGTTGAAGCTAGACCACCATGGAAAACCTGGAAGCACTGGACGGCCGTTTCGTCCTTTCTGATAATAATCAACATATGCTCACTAGCGACTGGCTTCAAGAGGTATATCCTGGAGTTCTAGTGAGAAGTAGTGACCAGTGGAGTTCAACCAGGTCTGATGTGAGATAGTAACTCACTGAAGATAATGGTGGATGTATCGCTCAAAATCGTGGACTAGTTGAAGTCAGTGGTCTAGTGGTTAAGTGCTCGCGCGCGAAACCAGTCGGTCCTGGGTTTGAATCTCGCAGGGGGCGAGGTCGTGGATGCGCACTGCTGAGGAGTCCCGCAATAGGGCGAAACGGCCATCCAGTGCTTCCAGGTTTTCCATGGCGGTCTAGCTTCAACTGACCCATGATCTTAACCATTGTTCTTTATATTTTTTATAAAATTTTGTTGTTTTACTTCATAGCAATTATTTTTTCACGATTACTGATTAGATAACATTACAACATTTACTTAATCTCACAGTTTAAATTACGAAATGATCTGAGGGTAGATAATTATCACTCATTCACAAACTATCTTCATCTTAGCATCTTTTATTAACCATCCAGTTATTACATAATTTCCTTTGAATACATGATTTTGATAAGTAATTTATAGCAAGATATTACTTTATCATTTTTAAAAATCACACAACATACTTTTGTTTTATTATAGACTACTATTTTTAGTAAATAAATTAACTATTGTGAAATTTAACAAAATGGAATTATCGAAAAAGAGATTTTCGTTGTTTTGTTTTCTTCCGTTGTTTGAGCGACTGTTACTTGAACACAGAATCAAAGAGAGTATGACAGAATATACACTGGGACAATCCATCTATTCACTACTGTCTAGTTTTCAATGGTGCTCCAAGATAAAGTCAGTTTGTGACGAATACTATTCAGAAATTTAAACAGTCTTCACGAAACTTCATAGAATAAAACATAAATGTATTTTATAGTTTTTCGGTATTACGAATCAGTTTTCTTAAATTTTATTATTAATTTTGAATTAAAAAAGAAGTAAATATGATTACAATAGCTCACATTCAAAATAATTAATAACTTTGGGTATATTCTACTGAACAAAACAAAAGTAGTAACAGACATTGCAACAGAAATATTTATTTCTGACTTTAATTAGATATGTAAATTGCTTATAGCAAAGGTATATTTCTAAAATGACATCTACTAAATTAAATTTAGTTCATTTTCCCTATCATTAAAATGTACTTTCTTGTTGTGTTCCATTTTCAGTGGTCTAATACTTGAAGAATGAACTGTTATGTTTTTTCATGCGTATAAATTTTGTTTTTAAAACAACTTTGGAAAAGATTAATATTATGAAAAAAGAGGCTGAACAGTCAATTACTGAAAGCTGTGCTATGAATTAACCGAGTTCGACTCAACAATATATATAATTTTTTTCTAGTGGACAAAAGTTCTGTGTTTAAACAAACTAGATATGAATAACAGAATATTCGAAATAGCATGTATCTGAAATATATAATCAGAATATAATCAATTAAAGTTGTTAGTATATCACATAGGTCATCAAAGTGTTCAATGGAATAAGACAGATATATACTTTCTTTGAGGCAGTATATAATATATATAACTGTTAACACGGAACGATAAGTGTTGTGAAACAGATGCCATTGTATAGCTGTGTTGGATTAATATTTGCTATCTTACTAGAGATCCAATGCAAAACTTTAGGATTATACAGCAAATAATACATATATATATATATATATATATATATATATATATATATATATATATTAGGACTACGGAGTAGAAATCCATTTAACTACATTTCTGAATCCATTCGTCAACACCGATGACCAGTTAGTATTCATGTCATAGTCTTACAAGAAGCCATCTTCAGTTCGACCAGTTCACTGATAACTTCTCTGACACTAATTCTATTTAGCTAGATTTATAATCCTACGGACAGTATCAGTTCTCCTAAAATCATTGATAAGCCTTGCTGACGCGTCCATTGAAGGTGCAACTCAGTTTCCCTACCAAATTTCAACCACTTAAGTTAGAATTTAGTTAATTTGTGATATAGCTTGATTGATTGTCGAAGTTTATGAGTGATTCTATCAGCTAGAGCTTCTTCTTAGAATGCTAATAGTTTCATTTTAAAGTTAATCACTTATGAATTTTAATGGCTTCGTGAATAATTTATATAATTTGAAAATGATTTATCTCATGAAATATATATCATTTAATCATTTAAAACGTTCTTCGTAACTATTAGATTTAGCCAAGAAATAACTCGTTTCATTGGACTCATTATTTATTCATCGCATGGTTAACTCTCGAAGTTCCATGGAAAGTTGTGACTTGTGAAATTTGATAATGTTAACATTACAAAATATACCACTGGTAACATTGGATGATGGTCTCACTACCTTATGTATTAAAAAAATACTCGAAAATGTGTATTCCTGAATTTTTACTCAATGAGTAACACTTTCATCACAAAACTAAAACTTCAATTTTACAAGTGGTAGTTAGTTGGTTAGCATTATTAAAAAGTTTCGTCTACCATTTATCTTTGGTTTTCAACACTAAACCACCTAAAATTAGTTCGTATTGAATTAAAGTATTTGTCACGACCAACGAGAATATATTTTGATGTAAGTTTTATGGTAAAATGTATCAATAATCAATACTAACCAAGTAGTTGTCATTCAACTAACAGTATGTTTATCTATTTTGTTAAAAATAAAAGTCAATATGATGAAATAATAAAAGAAAAAAGGAAAGGTAAAAAAAACTGAAAAAAAGGAATTTCATTGACACATCATTAATAAAACTCTTATATAAGAAATGAATGAATTGTTTAAGTATTTGTGCGCATACATAAGATCAACGTATATTCATGTTTATTTACATATACATAGATGAAGATTTCTATCAACATAAATAAAAACCACGGAAAATAATAAAGAAAATAAAATTATAATAAAACATTTTTTTAGAAAAATAAACATTGAATATTTATTGTTTATTTTTCAAAAAAATATATACCACCTTGATATTTGAGCTTATTTGAAATTATTACAGTTTAATATTTCACATTCAAATATAACTAAGATAAACAAAAAAAAACATTTTCACCTTTCTCTAAGAATTTACAACTTGAATGATGAAAAACATATGTATCCTTATATACAACAAGTGTGTTTATATTTGAGAAATTGAAGTGATCAATGTTACATAGATTGTTTTATTAATCGGTCAAATTTAGGACAGTGAAACAAGTGATTTTTTTTTCTTTTTAAATTATTGTTAAAAATTGAATTGTAAACAATATAGATGATAAAAATTCACTTAAACAAAAAAAAATCATAATCAGTCAACAGGGTTGTATATTGAATAAATATAAATTATATTTTATAATATGGCTATATATATATATATATATATATATATATATATATATATTGTAGGTTCGATTGGATGAGGTTATTTGTAACTTATCTAATGTTTAATGAGTCTGTTAAATAATGATCTTTTTCAAGTTTTAAAGTTGGATATTGAAGTGAATATTTCAGCAAACATTTCAAGTATCTGTTTCCTATGAATATGTCAATATAACTATGTGTGATATGCTAAATGAAAAACATAAGTACAATGAACTATTAGGTTTTAAAATCAGATCACGAATGATGAATAATATTTCAGTATGAATTATTTAGCCATTAAACAAATAAGCAGCTGACGAGAAACCTCGAAATATTATGAATTCATACTATTCTGCATCAATATTTGTTCTTGCTTTATTTAAATAAAAAATTGGTCAAACGGCCTAGATACAATACAACTGTTAAACATTAGAAACAATACAGATAATGTTACCATTTAATCAGATCATCAACTATTCATAATAACAGAATAAGTGGTTGAAGGCAATGAATTTTGATAAACAATCGATACTATTTACAGAAAATAAAAAAAGTGGTCAGATGAATTGAAAGATAGATAGGACGGTGGAGAGAACGAAGAAGAAAGAGAATAAAATTTGAGAATAATCAAGTAAGGGAATATTTTCAAATGAAGATCAGGATAATCTCTGTTACGTGAATGGTTATGTTTTCTTGTTTACATTCTTACGGTAAATAATGATAATGATGGCATACGTTTTGACCTTATATATATTCATGATTGTATCTAGTAATCCAAATTAACTTGAATAAAATAATTAAATGGACATTATTTGATTTGTTTCAGTATATGTATAAATATACAATGCATGGTTTAACATGAATATAGTGATCATAAAATTAAATAATGATGACAAAAATATCCTTATTAACTTAAAGAGTTGACATGATTGATGGAATTTTCTATATCCGGTATACGATGATTTGTAATAATCTAGTTATGACAAAATTTTTGATTGAACTTAAATTTGGACAATGTCATGTGAAATCATTGTCAATATCTTAATATGATATCATATCATGATAAGTTTTAAACTTAGAGTTGTTTTGTTGATAAAAAGTGTAAGATAATCTGGAAAAAAAGATTTACCTTATTTTGTTGAGTTCTATGAGTTCCGTTGCTATTCTAAGCTACAACATTCATGAGGATTTCGTGATTAAGTTGGAAATTAAACAGTCAAGTTCAAAACAGCTTAACAGTTCTCACCATCATGGTTGGAAATAGCTTTACTGTAGACTGATCTCCGGATTCATTAGTTATATACACACACCCACGATATCATAAGGCATTCACCTCAGAGCATTCAAACAACCATGACATATTTACGTCAAAAGGTTCTATACAGAGCGATTCTCACACACTGTCAATAGTGTTTTTTTCCTAAGTTCTTGACATGTTTATTCCACAGGTTACATGTTCTTATTCACAACTAATCGATATTTATATTACCCAATATTTCCACTGCTGATTAACTGTTTCATTGAATAATTTACAATACGGCTGTTTAATTGACCTCTTCCTTAAACTAAGTTTTAATATAAACCTTTAAAGTTATGTATTAAAGTTTCAGTGTATAAGTATACCAAAGAAACTGAATTAACATGAATTTTAACATTACATACAATCGTAAGAAAACGTCTCTTTAAAACCAAATATTGATTATTATTAGAATGGATTTAAATTATCCTGTTGCTGGTATTGGTGGCTGAATTTCGGTCAGTCTTGGTTGATTTACGTACATCCTGTGTGAAGTGTTTCGACATAGCCATCTTTTTCACAAGTTTTCACACAAATGATGTATTATGACTAGAAGTGAAAAAATCATCATAATTATTGTATAAGCGAGTGACTATCTGGACTCAGTAGCTCAGTGGATAACATGTTGGTGTTTAAAGCGAAAGGTATCAGAGTCGGAGTTCTTAACTGAATATCACTAGAGTGTGGGTATATACGATTGACGAGTCTCAGATAAAGTAAAACGGGTGTCCTAGACTACACTTCTGATCACAACCCATCCTTTATATAATTATTATTTAGTCACTTTATCTGTAGAGTAATATAAAATACTTAATTCTACAGACATTTGTTTCTAAATGACTTCTTAACTGAAATGTGAAATAAGCGTTATTATTTCAGGTTATAAGACACTTAAATATAGTTATCTAATGGAAAGAATCACGTTGTAAATTTTTCCTTTCTCATTATTTAGTTACTGAAAATATTAGTAGTAAAAGCTCATAAAATTAATTTTCGTTTATATACAGTAAAATGATAAAATAATACGTTAAATAACTGTATTTAGATATAAGAATTTACTTGACAAAAGTATACCATTAAAATTGAATTAAATGTGGAGAGTGTTGCAAACCTTTATTTACTAGTGGAAACATGTCAATGTGTATCTCTGATCAATGAAGACAATCAACTGCATCAGACCGACTATAAATCTTTTAACCGATGATCGAGAGCTAAAACTACTATGTCACTTCTTCACTTGAATCAAAATAAACCTTAAACTGTTAAGTTTATATCGTATCAGGATTATTTTCATTCAGTCCAGGGATTACAAGTCAGATGAAAATTTTATGGGTTTAAAAGTCAAATGAGAAGTGAGTTTGCCGAAGTTTGTACACGCAAACAGATTTAACGTTTTGTATCATCTAAACAATACTATAAAATTATAATGATAGTTAATATTATAGTGGGACCTTATTCGATATATTGTTTGGGTTTGTAATTAGAAATGACCTGAAAAATGATAGTATATTGTATAAGTCATTCAAAATAACAAATTTAAATTTTGCCGCTGTCATCACACACTGAAGGATATCAGTGAAATAATCGTATTCTTCTCCGTTTATTTTTTTCGAAAAATAAGATCAAAGATATTTAACGAGGTTCCGAAATATAAAATACTTAGTAAACTCATATATAGAGTGAATAAAAATTTTGGATCACACTACAGTTTAAATTTAGTTAAGTTTACCGACAAATCAATGAAATATACTAGTCAGATATTTCCAAACTATTCAACTGAGTAAATTTAGTTGACATAAACTGGAAATAAACAAGGAGTCATTGATACTCTTTTATTTTATAAAACTGGCTCTCTAAGCTTAGTGACTATATATAACAAACAACTTAACCTGATTTTACAAGAGAAAGTTATGGAAAATATTCTCTGCACATCAATTTTTGAATGATGATTGATTGATTCTCAAGAGTGATTTTATTGTAGCATAGCTTAAAATTGATCACAATATAGTAGTTTCATTTACTTTTTAACCTAATTTATTCTTTTTGAATTGTAGTTTTAGTTTTGATAAAATTCAATTGTAGCTATCACTTAACTTCCCAGTCCAGATTGCCAATGGCTTTATGCAACGGATATGAACCACAATCCAGTTGTAAAGGTTTGAATTTTCCTATTGTTAGTGTTGAGGATTGCAGTTAATCAGTCTATTTTAGCTTTTGTGCATCCTGGTCGAATCGTCACAGTATTTCTATCAATCATGAGCATTTCAAAGCAAAGATGGATAGCGGCTAGGAATGAAATCCACGTTGTGAGCTTTATCCTATTTGGAACTTTTCAGCTGAGTGCATCTGCGTCTACGTCTTTATGTTTATAATGAGACTAAAATCCTGTAACTGAATTCCAGTTTTTGACATTATTCAATTTCGCTTGGAAGAAATTGTAGCATAACTTTTCACTGAGTTGAATGCCTCAGGATGCACATACGCCAATAGAGACTGATCAATTACAATCCCTAATATTAACAAAGAGTAAATAAAAACCCCTCATAAATGAACTTATCCTGTTTAGATTTCTATGATATTTAATATTACGCAGTTTATTTTTGCTTTTCGTTGAATTCTTTTACCATTAGAATGATGTGAAAGGTGTGAACCAATTTGACCACTGATTTATAATCGCACTAAATTTAAAGTTAATTGCAACTGAATGAAACTCCATTTAACGGTAATACTGGAGAAATTTCTTTTAATTGTATACTTGAATACAAAAGAACTACAAACTTTAATATTTGATAGATAACAAATCCTAAACTATATTAAAACAGTATACATATAAAATATAGGCATAAGTTTCCATTTACTAGTTAGTGCTACATAAGAGGTCTGATTAATTAAATTTAACTTCAAGGAATCTACTGCATTTTTTTGTTATATATTATGCATTTTCAAGGTTGGCATAGCTTAAGATTAAAAACGTGTAAAGTGAACACATCAGATAACTTTTCTCTTAAATGTCACAGTAATTGTTGAAATTACTTTAAAATTATTAGAAGGAATCTCTTTTTTCTTGTCATCTATAATTAATTGTACTTTTTTGTGTTTATTCATTGAAACTGTTCGTAAACCAGCCTAGACAAAATATCACAAGGTATATTGCATTTCAGTAATCAGTCACCATAGAGTCTAGCAAAAATGTACTGTAACCCAAGATGTAATATCACGATAGCACGACAAGATTAATTTAGAAAAAAGGTGAATAGTAAAATAGTCGTTCTATTGTAGAACTCTCCTTGGAACTGAAGAATCCCATATTGGGATAAAACAACTGCCCAATGGTTCCTAGTTTTCAATGATTGTCTATCTTAGGTCAATTTGTTATCTGAATGACATTAAATATTCTTCACAAATCCTCACATTCGTAAATATAAATGCATTAATTTTCAACAATCTTATATCACTTACGACATAAATGACATAATAAATTTGTTTAAATTTCTCGGATTAATTGCTGTTCTCAGTGATTGACGAAATTTTATAAGGACTTCTCGTACTTCCACTTCGTCTTCTGAATCTGCAGCCTATAAATAAAAAGAGTGGCACAATAAATGATAGATCAATTTTTATCAGAAAAAATTGTAAGCTTATACACAAAAATCACTGTCCAATAAAAAACACTTGGTGACCTGTGGCGTCAGCGGAAATGTGATATTTTTATTACAATTAAAAAACAACAACTCAGAATTTCGTAAAATTCTCAGCTAAGTGTGTAAGACTAAATCAAATTGCACAAAACTAGTATTTTTGTTAAGTAATTTTTCACAAACTTTTGAAATGTTTCCATGATTACTGACTCATGCTTTTAAATACTATCATCGTTGGTCGGATCGAGAATTAACTGTCTAATTTTTTGTTTGCTTCTTAATTATTTAAGGTTAGGATTATTAGAAACTATATCAAACATTTATTTTAAACATTTTCGTTTCTTTGTTGTATTCACCTTTTAAACTATAGAATAGAGCATAAGAAAAAAACACTAATCAGTCAAGTCAGTTAGTAGTGAGTTGTTTACCTAACGAAAATATTGAAGAAAGTCTATGGCGTACTGTTAATTGATTTGAGAATATAAACACTTAAAAATTTGATTCAACAGCTTAGTAATTTCATGATCACTACAAATTCCTTAATCTTTTAACAAGTAATGAGGGTAAGTGTAGATAGGACATCTCTCTGGTACTCTTTACTCTCTCAATTAATTCTCCTATTTATTGTTGATTAGTAATGAAATTATTTTGAAATGTTATTCCTGCTAAAAGAAATTTATTTAAATACTTTATTAACTCATAAACTGGTAATGAGATTTACTACTCATACACTTACAAACTAATCATATATATTGATGAGAAATTATTTTAAATTAACATAATCATTAAATAAAACTATAAGATAGAATTGATGAATGCAAATTAATAACCAAATAGAGATGTATATCAGAAGGGGTTTTGTGGATTTTATAGTAATTTCAATGGTTGAGATCATGAGTCAGTTGATCTTGGGTGCACACTACTGAGAAGTCCCACAATAGGATGAAACGACCGTCCAGTGATTCCAGGTTTTCCATGGTAGTCTAACTTCAACTGAATCATGATATCAATCATTGAAATAGAGGTGTTACAACACTTTCCAAATATAAAATAAAACGATTAACTGATCACTTTATAATAATAGAAATAAAATGATATTTGAATAAAGTTATTAAAATTCTCCAGTAATATAAGAATAATTGTTTAGAGTTCAAACAACATTCATCATAAAGAAAGAAATGAATGCATAAAACTTTGAAAATGTTATTTTAAAGGAATTAAGAAATCTTGGAATAGAATTTTGATTCTATCTTTTAGTAATATCATATAAATTAAATGAAAAATTAGTTATAAGTGATTATATTCAACTCATGTTTATCATTTATTTCATAAGACAGAAGTTTTAAAGTTATTTTCAGGAATCATGCCTTATACATGTTAAAAATAGCCTAATCTAGTGGATGGTAGAAGTGAACTAACAGAACACTAGCAGAAAAGGAATATTGATTTGAATTAGATGATATACATGTAAATCGATGAAATATAAACATGGAATAAAATGTGAGTAGGTTTTCCATTGCCAACTGATATAAGGTGTAGAGTCATTTAGAAATAGGGAATACTGAAAAAGTATTTCATTCTACTAAGGTTTCTACAGTAAAATACATTCACAAAACAATTTATGAAGTAATCATTTTAATGGAAAACTAAAAATATAAATCAATATCAGATTATATTGTTACTTTTTAAGTTCCTAAAGAGTTGTCAGGATTGATTTTCAGTATTTCTTTAAATATCTAATTCAGAATGGTTCAGTATTTCGAAATTGTTTGGGGTATATTTTAACAAAACAACATTTCACGACCATTGATTATCGTTCAATGTTTAGATTACAAAATGTGATTAACTTTAATCTAATTCTTACCGTTTTAATATTATCACGTTAATTACAATTTCAATATAAGAGATTTGTAGAGAATGTCAAATTTTATAGCTTGCATTACAGCCTGAAAGTTCTGGGTTCGACTACCAGTGAAGTCATTGATCCACATTACTTAGGAATTACACACTAAAACAAAGTAGCTATTAAGTGATTCTTAGTTTCAAATATATGTCTAAGGTTGGTTCGTGATGTAAACTAAAAAAACCAAAATTTTATGATGAAATTCAAAGACTTGTATTAATAATAATACAACTATCAGTGTACAGAAGAATATGAAACGTAAATGTGCAAGTACATAGAAATTAATCAAATAGAAATATACCTTTTTTACTGTTATATCTCTAACAAGGTTATATTTCAAAAATTTAGGGAAATTGGTAAAAACAAAAAAATAATTAATTATTATTGCAAAGAGAACTTGAACAATAACTAGTAATTCATTTCTATTATAGATAATGAAAACTAGATTGTTTTACTTTCTGCATTACTAAAGCAAGATATAAACTATCAATAGTGTTAGTAACCTATTGATTACAGATTCATGTTTATTCTAGTGACCTTTACTGTTTGGGCAAGGGCCAGTGATACTACTAAACTAATGTAGCCTATATGGGATTCAAACCCTTAATATACTTGTTGAAAGATCAATTTCATGACCAATAAACCATTACTAATGTTTACAACCTTATATCATAACAAAAATGCTTCGAGATAATTCCCAAGTTTTTATACTCACGACTTAATTAATAGAAAACACCTGACCAATTAATTCTGATTAGCATATATATATAGTGAGGCTAGTAAAATGTATCAGAATATCTTTAGGGAAAAAGGTTGGCTGATTAATCAATATAAGCAAATTAGGTGAACGGAAGTTTCAAGGAGTTGACGAATGTTTTTGCAGGTCATATAAGGACAAATCAATCAAAAGTTATGTTTGCGTTGGTAACACCCTAAGCTAGAATCAGTCAAAATATCTTAGGTAATATAAAAAAGGTGACACGGAAGCTTAATAATTTGTTTCTCGTATTCCTCTGAAATAGAATATAAAATACATCAAAACAAGACTATTAACGTCAGTAGTTAGAAAAACAATGTGGCTAAAAGTAAATATATTTATTCATTAAAATAGTTTGTTTTAAACAAATGTTGAAAACCAGGGAATAACCTATCTCTGTTTCTTCTCAGTATGAGTTACTTTGTAAATGCTCACCCACATTTTTGCCTTGGATGACACCTTGGACTATCAGATGTTATGGAGAGTGTGATCCTCAAAGTAAACAATCTTCGGAAATCTTGTATCCTAAGGATCTCTTCACGTTAATGTCATTAGTTTTCGCAATATCTAACAGTTTTTCCATTAGCCAATTTTGAAAATTATTGATTACTTTAAGTATTAAAGATTCTGTAGATAGGTTTAACATATATTTGTTCATCATTGAATGTTTATTAACCGGTTAACTGCGATTACGTAACAACACTTTATAGTCAGATAAATTGTTCAGACATGAATTGTCACATTTATGAAGTGATAAATTCACCTCAAATTAACATCAAACAGAGACTATTTAAAAACAAGGAAGAAATGGACGTTTGTTTCGTCCTGTTTTTGTACCTCTAAGGAATCAACACATTACATTAAAACTTCATGGGAAGTACAATATATTCGGCTTCCCATGTTGAGACCCAGTAGTTTAAATCTTTGACTGTAGTTATCTTGCATTTAGACATGATCTTCATCTAGTGTTATTCACGAGTTACTATTTCATCACCACGGATCTTAGTCTACTTATGTATGCGACATAAACTTGAGGATACACAGGCAGGTGTTTTATTTTGAACTTATAGAAAATGAAATATATTTCGAATTACAGAAAACAATAAACTATTTGAATTTTACAGCTGTTCGCCATCAGTTTACAACAACGGTTGCTATGGAATACTACGTGGAAAATATGACAGCTTTATTTATAAATTTAGGGTTGAACAAAAAACTACTAGCAATTGTCATAAAAAGATTTTGTTCATGTTCGTGCATTTGGACATAAATTTTACAAATAACCGGTGAAATCTTTAATACAGTTGACGACGACCAAAGAATTTTCAAAAACTTTTCACTCAAGTTATTCACGCGTTACCTATATTTTTAGCTGGCATTCGATTAAACGAATAATGAGTTTCATTAGACCATTACTTTAGTTATAAAATCAATATTCATTTTAGTATTTTACCAGTCGTGTTTTATTATAAGATTGTCTTATTCTATTGTTTTTTGCGACTTAGCGTAAAAACATTTATATTTATCAAACTTTCGCTAAACATTTGAATATGATAAACTATGCTAGAGTAATTTGCTCATCATAATCCAGGACAATAATTTTAGTTAATAAAAACGTCGTTTAGTTGTGATCAACGTAAAACATTAGCTCAACTTACCATATTATAACAACATAACATAATGAAATTAACATCATAAATAGTACAAGAGCCTTAATAATAGTGGGAATAATGACAAAATAAAGACTGGGAATATGGTTCGATAAAATATAAAAAAGTGAAAATTTACCTTCTAAGAGAAGATAATTAACAAATGCAAACATTATCGAATGCAATCGATTTTAAATCATATCAGTCAACATCTTCAACCGTTGATCGTAATTGTTTCTTAATTTTCAAATCAGTGATCAGTATTTGTCAATATGTCTCAATCATATTTCCCTTCAGATTAATGGAACTGCATATAAGGGGTACACTGTGGTAAAATCATGTAAAACTGCCTGAAAAGATGCTGGAAATACAGAGTTTTAAGCATTCAACTTCAGAACTAATCATATAGACTTTTCTTGTAGAAAGTGTATTTCAAGGATTTCCTCAAATGCAAAACTTACGGCTTCGAAATAACATTAGTGATGAGGTAATAATAACGTTTGACCTATAGAAATGAGAGTAGTTAGTTAAAATTTTGCTGCAAATAGCTCTTAATACTATCGAGTGTATTTTATCTCAAGGTCAGTAAAATCTGTACAAGTTATCGAAATGTCATATTTTGAAATGGCAGATTTTTAGTTCAAGGTTTCTGAACAATAAGTCTTGGTTATAATGAGATTTTAAATTTTTGGTTTAGAAATTATATGATATCAAATGTACGTCATGTTGAGTAGTTTTTAATACGATAGAATGTTCATCTTACTGAGTTTCGGTTTCCAACATTTCTATGATAGATGTTAGCCTATGATATTAAATCTTTGAATTGATTACAATTAAGAATCAGAACAAAGTTAGATTTGAAACGTTTGTAGTCAATAAATAGGGAAGAGAAACAAAATACCTGTGATCAGAAATGAATGAATCTGTGAACTTTCTCTAGTGGTTAATTTCACATTCATGTGTATCTTCAAAAGGAAGATAGAATTACATAATTTTAGCTCAAGCTTAGTGATATAATCCGTAGATGAAATTAAGGTTTACATTTCCGTTAAATGCCTCACCATAATTTATAAAATAAGCTTTCAGTAATTTAGTATTCTATAACTGTCATCAGTTATACATCATTACAGGTACAGATTAACTGATTTTCCACACATAGATTTATTATAGATGGCTTTGAGCCACAGTAAGGTTGAAGATTCGTGACATAACCCGGTTGCTCTAACTCAAATAAGTGGTATAGAGTTCGAACCTGAAACGCTGTGACTATAATTTAGTAGCCTTAGTCACTGAGCCTCCACTACACATTTGTACGTTATTATTGTTAGATATTTATTTTTAGCGAGAAACTTCATTTGTAAAATTCTATCATAAAGTCGTGAATGAAAAAAGTGATGGTGGATAAAGTAAAAAAGATAATTGCTTTCAAAACTAACAACACAAAGTTTTTAGTGAAGCGGAAATTCCCGATAAGATGTTTACTAAAAATACAAACTTAGAGAATAAGTATTTCTTTTCAATCAGCGTTATACTTGTATATATGTATGAATTACAATACTAATAAATTGATATCAATTGTTAGGCAGTGTTACACAATTTAGAATTTCATAATTGATTACAAAATGTTATCGAATGATTAATTAAGCCATTCGGAGGAAGAACGACTTGGTAATTATGAAAAACTAGTTATAAATGACGTACGATTAGATGAGTCTATCATCGTATCGCTGAACACCGTCCATTCTGATTGAGCGAAGGACAGTTCAAAATGATTAAGTGTTATATACTCGTCCACCTAATGGGCACAGGACAACAAGCTGATTTGAATAAAGCTTTCAAACTTATCTATTGTAATCTATCAAATCTTTCACACAGCTTGAGCGCTTGTCTTTTGGGTATCTCCGAAGCTATTAGGATCCATATTCATAAAGCTAACTTTTGCACTAAAGAAACGTTTATTCAACCCTTCTGTCTACATCAGCCATCAATATTGTAGTAATTAATAATTGTAGTTTGATCCACCTGATTCTTTTGTAAAATATTTTTTACTTTCTTTAAATTTTTTTGTTATTTACATAATTTCAATATTTTTCGCTGAATTCTTATATAGTATTATAAAATTGACTTCTTATCAAAATATTGTATTAACTCTCTAACTTCGGGGGCGGCCTGCTTAAATGTCTGGGCTACTTGTTTCTGCCATCTAGATATTTCAACAGGTTACCTGTTTTTGTATGTATTAACACAACATTATGTCTATTAATCGCATAACCTATTTAGGCACGTTTATGAAAAGTTCATAACCTTTCGCTGTATGGGTTACAAAATGGTGCAATCAGTGACACTGTGATGACTGGCAATATGCAACAACAAGAATATACATTAATCAGATGTCTATTCCTGGACTGCTAACATATAATTTGCGACCCATCGATATTTATCGCCAGGACCGATTAAGAAAGAAGAAGAGGAAACTTGTTGAAATACTTTGTGCTGAGAATTCTATATTGTACCAAAAATGTAATGCTGAATAAAGCCATATTTAATAATATGATACAATCTGATAACCAAATAATTACATGTTTTCAATTTTTATAAATCATTACTTTGCTTATTATATTTAACACATCTTCCCTCTTCTAATCACTTACTTTATTATTTAACATTATTTTTATAACCAGTTGTGAAAATTTTACATTGTTTAACTCTACTACTTGATTAGTATTATTTTGTTATTACTGTAAATGATGTATATGTATGTATTAGTCTAGAGCCATAATAGAAAAACCAATTGAAAAGAAATATTTTTTCGTTCTGTCTATTCTTTTACTAAGAATGAGAGTTGTCCGAGATTTTTCAGTCACTCAGTTAGTTAGAAAGTTTACTCAAATTTTCTTGATGTTCATTTACTTATATTCAGATAAATGTTTTGGATGGATGTGTCATGATACAGAGTGTAACCATTAGCTGATTGAATTTATGATAGAGACTAGCAGTGAAATCCAGGACACATCACATGGATGTACCTGTATCACTATGCTGAGGTTCCTAATGATTAACTTCATTGACAATTTAATGAGATGAGTCTTAGATTTTAGTCTAAGTATTAACATCATTTATTAAATTAAGAGAGGAGAATAAACCTCCTTGATGAATTTTAAAATCGGTTCTACTATTTATCATCATCCAAAATATAATCAATAATATACATTGTTTATTAAGAAAAGAGTATTTTCACTTATCTATTAAATTAAATGGTTCATAGTCAAGACATATTACAGTTTATGTTTTTAATCAAGTTAAAACATGGATATATATATATATATATATACTAGTAACATAACGTTAATCGATATAATGTATGAGGTTTTTGTAATAAAATCCAAACTGTTTATAAAATTTTTACTGTAATATTTCATACGAATAGTTATTCATTATTTGTCAATATGTTTCTTAGTTTAATTTGCCATATTTCACATCAAGACAACAGAAAAGAAAAATTTACGAATACATATGGGTTCAGTAAAACAATATTAGTGATATTAGAATATGATTCGAATAAAATTGATTGAAATGAATTAGTGAATAGATCTCCACCAATGTCTCTGTTCTTAAAATATATGATCCAAGATATCTTGGTTTATTACTATATATAATAGATCTACTTCGCCTGATAAAATCATTAAAGTTTTTTTAACCATTTGTACATGAAAGTTAATTCAAGATATATATTTTGTTGTAATCCAGTTTGTATTCGGCTTTATTTTTAAGACGGTAAACCTCTTAGTCAAATTGGTCTAGTCTCATATTTTATGTTGATATAATCTATACGTTAATTATATTTAGACTGACGAAATATATATATATATATATATATATATATATATATATATATATATATAACTACAGTCTAGTCACATTTATTTTACTAGAGACTAGTTGAATATTGAGCGATGTCATATGATCCTTTACGATGATTGAATGCTATTTATCTAGGTGTTTTTTTGAGGCTGTCACAACCGGAGCTAGGTTATTAGACGTCAGTATTAATTAGTGAGAAACTCATATTTTAAAGAATCCATTCATATTGTTGTAGAGGTTATTGGTTGGGGATAGTAGGCGGGAAACCCTGAACTTAGGTTTCGTTCTGTTTTAGGACTCATCAACAAGGTACATTTTTAATTTTAAGGGAACTGGCGCTCCATTACGAATCCATTCACGCTTTGCCTCAGTGATTAATCGATCGTCTCTATTTCAGTCCTATAGGTCAGCCACAATTTAAACATTCCAGTGATAACGTCCCGGACTATGAAACTGTATCGTAGTTATTCAAAACCCACAGGAAACATTAGTTCTTTTTACGGCTTGTTAATGAATATCAGACAGCATCAAAACTAGGCTAGCCAGAATTTTCTGCTGACTACCTCCAACTACTTATAATCATGATAAGTTTACCTAATTCATCTTAACTCTTATGCTTATAAATGAATTGTGATGATTTGTATTAAACTCTAGTTAGAATTTCTTTTTACATCGTTTAAATACAATAGTGAACTATTCAATATTAAATGACTGATTAGACTTACCGAACCAAAACGATGCATTAATAAATATGATTCTGCAGCTGGATTCATTCCAACTGTATTTAATTTCCATCCAATTAACTGAAATTTTGTAATAAAAAATAGTGGTTACATTAAATTGAACACACAAATGCTCAATATTTATCATGATGGAATTTCTTTTGAAGTTTATCGAACGGAAAAATTTCAATTACAAACCAATTAGATTTCAGCTTGAGTAATCGAAAGGAATAGATTTGGGAAAAAATAAATTTTATTCTGTAGTAGGACTTCTGTCCAACTTTGGTTGACAAATTACTTCATGAAATCAAGAATGATGATTTAAACTGTACCAATACAGATATAAACTAGTAGAACAAAGAACTAGTAAGGAATAATAGGGTTGAATTATTCAGTTTACAAACAAATCAAAAAGATAACTTTATACACTATACAGTCGTGGACTATCACCAGAAATATTTTTTTACAATTCAATCATTATTTTATACATTCAGCTGTTTTTTCAAACATCCTATCTACTTCGAAGAATCACTCTTGTTGTAACATGTCGGTTACATATTGTTTGAGTAATTTTATCATTATAAAACTCAAAAGAAACAGAATGATAGAGTATATGATAAATGAAAAACTTTTTATTTTGTTTATAGACCTTATAGAAAAAGAATAAAGTTGAATGTTATCAAAATTATTTTAGGACTTCATCTTAGTCAGATTAGTCGGTATTATTCTTCTTCCTCTTTCTTACTTTATTTTGGTCATTCAGCTGAAACAATATTCATTTGTTAACATAAAGATTGAATTAGAGTAAACATAAAAATAATTAAGATTAGTGAAAGGACTGAGAAGGAATTTTACCAATCGTTTATGGAAAAGTAATATATTAGATCATCCTGAAGATTAACAAATTAGAATTACAAACACTTACAAACTATTATGTCATTTTTTCACACTGAATTCATCGTCACTAAAAGTTAGCTAATATTATATGAATAATTCTATTCTCAAATTTTTAAGTCAAGAGAGAGTATAGATCGCTTTATGCAGTAGTATTTCATGATTTTGTTTTCAAGTTGGAATGTATGGAATTCAAATGAATTAATACATGTAATAATTCAGGTCTGAAAAACAATACACAGTTTCAGTGTGTCAAATGATCAGAGGTAGTCAGTATTAAATCCTGTTTCACCTAGGCTTCGTGCGATTCGCCTCATGTCAGTAGGATTTGCTTGCAATCTTAAAAGAACTTATCAACATGTTAATAACTTATTAACGATGTTGAATTACTTAGAATAGTAGACACATGGTAACTTTACCGATAGAATTAGAATAGTTCTAAAGGACGAGACGAACATGACATTTATCACTAACTAAAGGTCAATTAAGTGTGCACAAAAGTATCATTAATCATAATCAAATATGTCAGAATAATCTATTTGAATCAGAATAATTAATGTCGAGAAATTAGTTGATAATCGGCCAGTTATTAAAACTGTAAGATCTGGCACATATACGTTTCTCCACAAGTTGTCTCATTTAAATAGGTTACATTGACAGGATAATAAGCTGTAGAGGTAGAGGCATAATAGTAACACATTTCACATAATTAAAAGCCATATCACTAAAAATACATATTTAAGAAAAATGAGATTAAAAACATAATGCATGAAATGGAAATAAACCCCTGACTTGAAAAGATAAAGAATGAGGATAACTATACACTGCAACAGGTTTGATGATTTAGTTTACGTGATGGGTATGGAAATGCTACGGGTTTACTTGTTAGTTCATTGCGAACTTGTATTCGTTTTCAAATGAACCCAAAAAGTATTGGCAGCTTAAAGTATAATTTTTATTAATATGTATGGATTTTTGGAGATTGTAGTTGTTTCTCAGTTAAAGTCACAAGTCAATCTGAGCTGGACTGCCATCGAAACCTGGAAGCACTGGACAGCCATTTTGTCCTATAGTGAGACTCCTCAGCAGCGAGAACCCAAGATCTCACATGGGGGACTCGAATGAATGCAGATGTTACACCAGGATGATTGGGAGTGCTTATTGTTAAGATACTGAAAAATATTATCTATTAATGAAGCTATCATTTGCATACAGAATCATCAGTGTTAGAAATATCAGTTTATCAATGAAATGGGTATAAGTATACGCAGGTCTAAAATAAAATTTCGTAGTTGAAAATCGTTTAGCTAGGCATAATAAATAATACTGACCCTAAGTTGGGATTCGAACTTCAACCTAATAAAGTTTATGAATGAAAACTGTTGTTCATAAATGTAGATTGATTTCAAATGCAAATGAACTGCATGTTCCAGATTGTAAAACCTATTTACTGTCAAAAAAGAATACAATTTAGTCGTTGTTACATGTCTGAAACGTTCATCCTCGTTGTTATTATCTTACTAGTTTGTAAGTTTCATCTGGCGCCCATAACTAATTGTTTCACTATTAAGAGGGAGTGAAGAGATCAAAGGATTAACCTGTCGTTCAAATGCTTTGAAACCGTTAGAACTTTATAAAAGTTCACTAAAATTGAGGTCGAATTCTAAAGATCATATTTCTGAGCAGTTTTAACTAAATCGTAGTTGTTGGGAGGTAAATATATTTTGGCCCCCCAGATTGCCTAGATAACAAAGTAAATGTGGTCTCAAACTCTCTCCACTAAGATTTTAATGAAGAAGTTTCATTATTTCTCAAAGTAATTTTAATTCGTCTCACTCATGACCGTAGCCGATAACCGTTTTTGAATTGATCTGGGAGAAGAGGTAGCTGCTTGGTTATGTCGTAGAAACATATCGGCAATAAAAATCGGCTTTTTCACTTAAAAACGGGATAAATAATCTACATCTGACGACGTTTAAACGTGATTTATTGATTCGAATGTTAAGAGTGTCAAACAAAATACATAAAATTAAATGTTAACATAAAACAGTGTAAGGAAAATACTATCAACATAAAAGATGAATTTCTTACTCTATCTCGAAGACTTTCAGATAACCCTGCAGTTGTTCCAGTACAATGAATTAAAATAGCACCCAAAACTATGTCATATCTTAACATCTGAAACAACATATACACATTGCAAGAATAAAACAATACGGATTAAATCAATCAGACAATCAGTTTAAGAAGATGATTAATTCCTATAACTACAGTATTCTAAAGTACATACCACCAGTCTAACTAATATATTTGCTCCAGCTCCTTCACCGAAAACAACAACATACTGTAATCTAGTAATATGGTAAGAAAAACATTATTTGTATTTTTTTACTGGAAAACGTAAAGGTTACCTAAGTGCATTGCATACTTCACTCATGCCTTCTGCAAGTTGCTGAACTGAAGGAAACGTATAACTAAAAACAATAATAGAATATTAAATAAATAATAATATTGATAATAATATTAAATTTATTATTTGACTTAGTATATTTAGAAACGGTCAAAGGAACATTGCATATTTATGTTCCTGATTTATTGTAATTCACTGAATAAGTGGGTTTCATACATCACAAAAAAACTGGTCTCAAAGATTTAATTAAACCTCGATAAATTTTGGAAAGCTAAATATTGACAATCATGAAGCTTGAGCTAAGCAGTAATACCATGTCCGGTAATGATTTATTTGAAACTAGTTTTATCAGTGCGCTTTATGAGGCTTCCAACATACTAGTTACATTTTTATGTATGTAGGAGTAACAGGATACTGTTAGTTTAAGGTACTACCAATATTTTGAACATGTTTGGCCTGTGAAATTGTTGAATAGTCTCGTTTCCACCCCGATGTCTATTAGAATGCTTTTAGGTCAGAAGTTCAGGTTATAAATTAAGATGAAAACACCAGGTCTTCATGGCTGTCAAACTATCTGAGACAGAAATTTAGACGGAGAGCAACTATTTGGTGCTTTTAAAGACAAGCTAATTTGCTTGCTTTACTGATAATAGACAGAAAATTATTATTCCCTTATACTTGATAATGACGCGTAATTTATCATGAACTGTAAGTATCTCATGAGTTCAGAACATTATATAATTGTCCGTAAATGCTGTTATCATTAAGATGTCATTCAAAGCTGATGAAATTTATTCGGCTGAATGACTTACTCTGCAGGTAAATCCGATTCACCATCTCCTTGTCCCGGAACATCTACATGTACCCAGGTACATCGATTAACTAGCGGTTCCATGGATTCGTGTGCAAGAAAATTAACGATTTCATTATCTGTAGTGATTAGTGCATTTTAAATTATTTTGAACGTTCAGCATACGATTGCATCCAAGATCATGAACTGTCAAGAAAGCAACTTTTGTATTACGTGGACCCTGTTTATGGAATATTTACTTCTAAGTGATTTTACCTGTATGAATACGTTAATTTTTCCACAACTTTCAGTGTTCACAACTTGATGTTCTATCTAACAAAAAACAAGCATTTACGTGATAATTGATAAAAAATTGTATCATGCTAACTGTAAATTATGATTTTGCAATTACATTTTTAGAACTGTAACTTTGGAACAAATTAGAAGTTAAATAAAATGAACTAAGAGATAAGCAGACGCTTGTGGTGGTTCGTAAAATAATTGCTATGATTTGTTCGTGGTTGTATTAAGACGCTTTGTGAATCGTTACAAAGCTTTGAATAAAATAAGCATAAACGCCCCGAAAGCAAGGAGTATCTAGAAATACTAACATTAAACAAATGTGCAGTGGAGATTCTGTCACTTCTGTATGTATTCTCATAAGCACGTAAACTTGCATTAAATTAATTCCGAAAACTCAAAAGACGATTGAATTAAATGGCTCAGGAAATACATCACTCCGGAAATGCAAGTACTAATGAGGGTCTATGTAATACTTTTGCCATGATCGACGGTCTATGATGGAACTATCTAAAACGTTGTCTCACTATGGACTCGCATTCTAGTCTTTTTTTCACTAAAAAACAAGCTCAAAATCGCTTATGAGAACGTATTCATACACCTTGATAATTTACTTTTATTATTTTGGAATTTCAAAGACTATCGGCACTATTCATCTTATGTTCTTTGACTGAGTTCATGACATTTTATTGCTTCACTAATTTTGACCAGTTATTCGTTTCCGATAGTTTTCACGCCTCTGGTAAAGCGCCAGACTTTTGACATTAACTTCACAATCCATTGTTCTGCAAGCTTTCTGTGGCATCAAGTTACGGATGGAAGAAATAACTTTCTGAGTCAAAGATACATACAAAGTATATGACCAGGGTATTTAGACAGTTCTGGAATGCTAGTTACTATTCAGAGTGTAAAAAGAAACCTCATTGTAGTCAAAATCGGATAAAAAAGTCATATCTGTCCAGAAAACACTTGTCTTGTTTAGAAAATAATTGAAACTAAATAAGTATTTTTTATAGGAAAAAGAAAGAATAAAAAAGGTTGATTGAAAGTTAATAGTTAAGAGTTTTAGGTCAAACAAAAGAACATTATCTTAATCATACGAGCAGCTTTTTGATATTTTGATAAGGTATAGTGCGGTCCGTCTTAAAAATAACAATTTATTCTCCATAGTATGTGATAATCAAATATTATCTGAAAGTGTTTAGACGAAATGTTTCAAACAGTTATTACGAAAAGACTTCAACCATTAATAAAATCCTTGATTCATCACCTTACTTGAGGTGCTAAAACGATTCATCAAAAGGATATGAAATTCTACAAAATTTTAGCACGTATTGAAAGTTCTAATTTTAAGGACAATAATTTGAGTATTTTAGTCTTATCACGAGTACACGAGAAAGCAATTAAATTTCTCTATGATATTCACTAAATACAATGATCCGCTGTGTATTCTTTATCATTCAAAAACTCACTCCTGACATTGTTAGCTGAAACTCAGAAGTTATTTGAAAAAGTGCAAGAACATAATAAGAATACTGATACAAACAAACACATTCGGTTAACAAATTGTTTTAAAGCACACTGAATGAGTAAATTGAGCATTCCTAAATAGTACGTTTCCGTTATATTCATCTTTATTAGCTCTAGAAACTAAGTCAAAATGGTGTTATGAAACGGTGTATTTGAAGTCCAAATTATACATTCCAATATCTTATAATCAAAATATTTGTGATAAACTAGTATGAGCTTGCGCCACAGCTTTCGAGTTTTGACGCTTTTATGTGTTAACAGTAATGTATTAGGATATTGAAATGATTGTAGTGAAGATAGAATGTCTTTTAGCAACTATTTTACTCCAAGTAAACGACGATTAATGAACCATGAAACAAAAATTCTTTATTTACTTGCATGTATTATACCAAAGCTAGTTCCGTAGATAGAAAATAACAATTAAAGCTAAATATGATATAATTAACAAGATCTCAGATGATAAAATATGTAGGGAAGTCAGACCCAGAAGGGATGACACGTCTAGTTGCCATAAAAAATTAGATCACCTTTGGGTATGATAAAAGCTGTTATAAATCGAGACATAATTGAGCAATAAAGTTTCGCAAACGGGTGAGATCGTTCTGGAAGAAACAGAAGAGACTGCCGCTTAACAGGACTCCGTATTGAATAGCGGTGGACCACCGATGTGTCTAGATCTGTAACTACGTCCACTTAACGAATAAAAGAGAAATATATGTAAATTATAGTGAAAAGCTACTTTTAGTCTTTATGAGCATGTCAAATTTCCGTCTGAAGAAGTCCTAATAAGTCTCTCGGATCGCCTCTCCCGGCAGACATTTCCAAGTTTCAACTACTCCTAAAAGGTGAAATGTGTTTCTATATTTCAATGTGCTAGGGCACATCTCTAATTTCTGAGTGTTAGCGCTAAAGTTCGCGTTGCGACTGACCCAAGGTAAGTATTCGAGAGTACATCCAGGAGTATTGGAGATGCTGCATGCTATTAGAAAATCACCATAGAGACGCCTATACTCTAACAGGTAAACATCCATTGATTTAAGACGTTCTTCAAAAGGTTTGAATTTTAGTCTTTTAACTAACTTCCTTGATCTCCGTAGGATACTCTTATGTGTATTCATATCCTTTTGAAGTGAGAGAGGAAACACTGTTTTTCAATACACTGAAGGGGTTGAAATAAAACTAATAAAGTTTGAGTGGATAGTTCTGCCGTCAAACTGGCCAAAAATTTGTTCCAATATTATCAATGCAAGCTTTATGATATAAGGTTCCAAGACTCTCAAATCATCTTGAACTTAGGAGACCTCTAGGGGAGAATTAACTAAGTTGTATGTGTAGTCTTCATCATGTCTCAGAAGGACTACTTTACACTTTGAAGTGTTAAAAGTTCATCGCTGTCCGCAAAACTTTGAAGTCGAGTCAGATTCTTCTAAATTCCCGGAATATTATTTTACTATCGCCAGCAAAAAGTGATAAATCAGACGATGCTTGCCAAAGGAGGTCATTGACGTAAATTAGGACGAGAAGTGCTCTCAATAATAGATTCTGGGGGACCCTGTATTATTATGGTCTGGGTTGGCATTAAGTGCATTTGTGTATACCAAAAGAATAAAAAACTTATTCCACGTTTATAGGTTTATCATAATGTCCCTACTTAATCTGTCAGACCTTACCTAGATGTCACATCATTATACATACTTAATCGTGCTACCGTGATAGCCAGTGGCTGCTGCGAAGGACTTCTACACAATACATTTCTACTGGTAGGGGAATAATATATTTAATACAGATAGCAACAGCCTACATGGAGTAACTAGCCTGAAAAATTGAGCTACACAGTACTCAGTTAAGTGTTCTGACTTCTTCGTACTAAGTGCTGTATGTAACTTTTCTCAGTCATCATACTTTCGGTTTCAATGATCGTGTATTTAAACCCCAACAGGAATATAACCCAACTGGGACATTCATTAACTTAAGGAAGGTAAGGTCGACAATGATTTTATAGAGTCAAATGTTTAGCTGTGAAGTAAACCAGTCTATTAACAGTGTCTAACAGTTTCAGCTTATCTCAGAGACATTTATGATTGACCCTGATAAAAGCTCTTGAGATGTCGATGTTCATGACATTGACTTTCTCCTTGTGATCGGTTGTCTGTCTGTCCACTGCAGTCAAAAAATTGACTACACAGGAATTACGCCTTTTGAAATCATGTCGTTAGGATGGGGGGAAGTTCACAGATAATTAGTAATCACGCAGACTGTCATATATCAAGTACTTCAAATTTTTTGAAAACATTAAGGAAACTAATTCTAGACGGTAGTTTCTTTCTGTATAGCAGAGTCGACCGTATCCGTGTCAGGAGAAATGTCCTTGTTCAGATGATGTGGTTTTTGACACACCATTTCAGGACTCAGGTTCACCTCTGGAAGTCCTGTTGAGTTTTGGGTGAAGCTCTTATCGATTAAGTTTCTATGTGTTGGGTAAAATATTGCGAAAATGCTGTTTTGGCAACTCGGCGGTCGGGACCTAGGACCTAGCACATGAGAAACCCTGTTTTTGGCTCGTCGAAGAGTCTGCATAATCTTTTCGGATTGGACACAAATTTATCGGTTAGCTTTATCTAATACCAAAGCCCATCTTATCAATTTCGTGATGTGGTTCTTTGCTTGTTTGAACTGCCCGTATTCGCTGTCGTCACTATTTCACTTGTATTCCACCAATCCCTACTTTTTGAGTCTCAGTATTCAAAGTGTGTTTTGATGCCTGAATGTTACTTGCAACTTTTGAGGACAATTTGCAGAACCGCCTGGTTTGTAGCACGTAGGGTTGTATAAAGTAAAAAGTCCCGTCGAACGTCCACATCAAACTGTGTACGGTTCCCAGTCCAACTTCTGTTAACTGTCCTGTAAAACTGACACATGCAAACGTCTGAAACTCCAATCTCTGTTGTTATCAGGATTTTTTAAATCAGTTGTACTGATAAAATTGAAGGCTATGACGACGTGATTACTTTCTCCCAAAAAAGCTAGAATTGAGCAGTTGTCATTTAGAAATTCTTTGTTTGAAATTATTCAGTATAAGTGTGACGTTTCCCAATGAAGTTGCTGACTTCATATTTCTGAATAACCTGTGATAATTAAAAGTATTTCGATTATAGCGCAAACTAGGAATCCCAGAAATAACGCAGTTTAATCAAGAAGTATCAGATCTGAACGAACGAATGTAATGTATTTAGAATTCGAAATAAAGTAGTCATCAAGTACAAAGAAATAATTATTTCATGCAAACATCACATCCGTCACAAGTTAAATAAGAATCCAAATTTCTGCGATCCATCATAACTCTACTCTTTAGGTTCATCATGTGTCTGTCCGATCGTGTAGTGGATGTACACTCTGTCTGATCTAGAATATAAGCATTGGCACCAGAATTAATAACCGAAACTAGTACGGACCAACCTGAGTCCTGATATTGTATATTATTACATGCTGGCCGTGTACTCAAATCATTGATATCTTGAATTTGAACCATAGGTTTTTCAAAACTATCATCCCCTACGAAATAATGTTGTATCTTCATATCCCCAAAACATGAATAATGTGATTTCCTTTAAAACATATTTCTCACATTGATTGAAGGATTCATTAGAAGTGACTTCATGATAAGTATAAACAACAGTTGACATGAAATAATTCGAATCGAAATCAAACTCAAGGTCATTTGGGACTCGTGCTTCGCAATGAACACTTTTCCCACAAGAAACAAATGCATCATGAGGACAAATAATGTTCGACATGATATCAGTATTATATTTTTCTGATATATTTTCTTCAAATTCATTGTAGAATAACGGATTATTAAGAAAATCAGCATCTGTCAAAACTCCATCGGAGGTTTGGTCATGATTTGATTTGTTCAACATATTTCCCTCAGATTTATAAGAAATTTCATGGGAAATATGCGAATCATCAGAACAAACTGAAAATGCCACAGGTATTCGGAGTTCGACAACGCTTTAACCAGTAACACCTACTAATATGAATTGTACCCACCAAGTGAAATCAAAAGACAGAAGCGAGGAGGTTCGAAGATATATTTGATAGGCTATCAATATATCGAGGATCGTCTGATCTAATCTGTCTAGCGACTGTAGGGGTTGTTGAGCACGGCGTTCCCACTCGTGATCTGGTGCGGATGCATGAGCGAGCACCGTCAGCTAGATGAGTCCATTAAAACTAATGTGGTCAGCACCCAATGTCGAAAACTTATAGAACTATTTATTTTGGGGATTTATTTACCGCTACAAAACCATATCTGGTACAATAATATCAAAAATCTAATCATAATTTAGTGTAATCGACATATTTGTAAATAATTTCATTAGAAATACAGGAATCGCGAGAAAAGTACGCATCTGGTAAAGTCATATCATAAATCTGATCAGAGTTTGATTCATTTTAAACATTCAACTTAATAGGATCGGAGTTACAGAATTTAGCATTACATGCAGCGAAAGGAATAGTAGTTTTAAAAACTGCATTTAGCATTATAAAATAAACATGAATTATATGGGTGAAATTCGCCACATGACAAACATTTGCCAAAATTGTGCTCATTTTCGTGACTTCCTTTGCAAGTCCTCAATGAATTGTGATTTGCATAACCTTGAGTACGCATTGGATTAAGATAGCGTAGTAATATAGTGGAATTCTTGATGTCCTAATGAATCAATTAACGAAATTTTCCCTTTTACAGCATTCGGAATTGGTACACTGATGTGTGGGCGAGAATAATAATGATTGGTTGTTTGCTTAATCAGACTTGTAGATGGTCTGACAGGTATTAGATGAATTACATATTACCCTATCCTTATTATTATTATTATTATTATTATTATTATTATGATTGATTGATTGATTGTTGCTGGATTGTGTCGGCTTTTGGTGTGAGACA